CTATAATCAAATCTTTTTTATCCTGGAAATGCAAGGATGGTTCAACATACACAAATCAATAAATCTAATACATTACATAAAGATAAACAAAACACACATGACCACCTCAATTAATGCATAAAAATCCTTTGACAAAATTCAACATCCCAGACACTGCTTTGGTTGGGCCTACCTCACAATCACCATCTCCGGGAAGTTGGAGTGGCACTGTATCAATATTACACAGCCAAAAAAATTCAAGGAATTGGATTTGGAGATATTTATAAAGAAGGCTCAGTGAAACTAAGAACAAGAACATCCACTAGTGAAACTGAAGAGAAAAAAAAACACAGAAAAGATGCCTTTAATCATACAGCTACAATGATCCAAAACACAGTGCGGAAATGATGACGACAGACACTGAAGCTAAAGAATATTATAGAACATTATTTGCCTATGAAGGTAGTATTGAAGATGAGCTTACTTTTAAAGAGGGAAAATTAATCAATCCACTTGATAATAAAGAAACTGGTGAACCTGGCTGGTGGAAGGAAGAACCTAATGGTAAAGAAGGGGTATTTCCAGACAATTACACTATTCAGATAACTGTGCTGGATAAAGACTTTCCAAATCCAAAGAAATCACCACCTCCTAAGGGTCCAGCTCCAAAGCCTGACCTGATAAGCTGTAGAGAACTTTTCTCCACTGAAGCCTGAGGAAAAAGATGAAAAATCACTACTGGGTCAGAAACGTTCTAAACCAATTGCTCCATAGTCCCACCCAAAAAGCAGACTCCACCAATGATTTATTGAAATTTCCTGCAGCAGCATATCCAAAGCGACCCGAAAAACCAGTTCCCCCACAACCATCCACAGCCAAAATTAATGGAGAAGTTAATATTTTATCAAAGTTTGAAATGCAGCCAGTATCAAAACCAAAGCTGTATTCTGGAGAGTTGCCATTTAGACCCAAAACAGTAGACTTTGGTTCATTTATAGAAAGGAGATCTAGAGAAACTGATATTGTAAATTTTGATAACAGCTTCCTCAGAAAACTTGCTGTACCTCACTGCAAATAAATCACAGAAGCTGGGAAAAGGCTGCCCCGCTATTTTAATGGTGGATATTTACCAACTGAAAGCCCAGTTAAAAACCTTGAAGTTGCCAAGATAATGCCAATTTAAAATGATTTGAGTTTAAAAAGGATACAAGCTACTCCACAAAGCCACCTCTTCCGCCACTTTCAACTGCTTCTAAGGCAAATAAAATTGCTTTCTTACCTCCATTAGAAATAAAAGCAAAAGTAGAAACAGATGATAGGAAGTAAAATTCCTTGATTCAGCTTAGAGACCAGAGTATTGAATTGCTGTCTTGTGGAAACACTAAAACAAAGATATTGTAGAAACACTGGGAAAGAACGGGAAAAACTAGAAAGAGCTAGAAGAAGAGAAGACAATGAAGAGTAATATGGAGGTGGAAATAGAGAAGCTGAAGAAGAATGTCCTGTCTTCTTGAGGTTGCATGAACCCAGTGTTCTTAGTGCTCCAGAGAGTCAGAAATAACACTGAACATTTTACCTGACTCCATACTTGTGCTGAAGAAACAAAATAGCAAAAACAATCCAAAGTAAATGGAGAATCAGAAATACAGACTTCAAATTATACTACAGAGCAGTAGTACCATTTGGTACTGACACAAAAACAGACACAGAGCTCTTTGTCTGGAATGGTACAGAAGACCCAGGGAAAAATTCACATACAATCTACAAAGTTTCTGACAAGTGAGCCAAATTATACAATGAAGAAAGACAGTTTCTTGAACAAATTGTGCTGAGGCTGCAGGAGAGTAAAAACTGTATGTCTGTTTCTCAACATGTATACAAATCAACTCCAACTGGATCAGAGAACTAAAAGCACAATCTGAAACTTTAAGTCTGCTATAGGAAAAACCTTAGAAATGTACAGGCAAGGGGATTTTTTTCTGAAAAAACTACAGGTGCACAGATGATGGAAGCAAGAATTAAGAAATGGGACTATATCAATTTAAAGAGTTTCTGTACATGAACAGAAACAATCATGGAACCAAGTAACAAACCTTAGAATAGATAAAATCTTTGTCAACTATTCAACAAGTAAAGAGTTAACATCCAGAATATACAAAGGACTCAAGAATTTAAATGAGCAAATAATCCAATTAATAATCAGGCAAACTAAACAATTCTCAGAAGTGCAAACAGCTAATAGACACATTAAAAATATTCAACATAGCCTGGCGCTGGTAGCTAATGACTGTAATCCTAGCTACTCAGGAGGCTGAGATCTGAGGATCTTGGTTCAAAGCCAGCCTGAGCAGGAAAGTCCATGAGACTCTTATCTCCAATAAAAACCACTAGAAAACCAGAAGTGGTGCAGTGGCTCAAGTGGTAGAGCACTCGCCTTGAGCTGAAGAGTGCAGGGACAGCACCCAAGCCCAAAGTTCAAGCGCCACGACCGACAAAAAAAAAAAAAAATCAACATCCTTAGTCATAAAGTAAATGCAAATCAAAATCAAACTAAGATTCTACCTAACCCTAGTAAGAATGACATCCTTCAAGAAAACAAAACCAGCTGGGCACTGGTGGCTCATGCCTGTAATCCTAGCTATTCAGGAGGCTGAGATCTGAGGATCGTAGCTCAAAGCCAGCCAGGGCAGGAAAGTCCATGAGATTCTTATCTCCAATGTATCACTCAGAAAACCAGAAGTGGTGCTGTGGCTCAAGTGGTAGCACGCTAGCCTTGAGCTGCAGAGCTGAGGGACAGTGCCCAAGGCCAGAGTTCAAGCCTCATGACTGATTAAAAAAGAAAAAAGAAAGAAAACAAAAACAATGCTAGTGAACATAGAAAAAAGAAATCTTCATATGCTGTTGGTGGAAATGTATACTAGTATAACCACGAAGACATCAGAATGGAAGTACCATTAAAGACAGAAAATAGATCTTTCCTATGACTTCACTATATCTATTGGGTATTTATGCCAAGGACAGTATATATACCAGATGATCTCTGCATATTTATGGTAGCATATGGTAGCCTTGTCCACACAGCCAAACAATGGAATCAGTACCCAACAAAAGATGAGCAGATAAAGAAGATATGGTAGGGGGCTGGGAGGATAGCTCAGTGGTAGAGTGCTTGCTTTGCAAGCATGAGGCCCTGGGTTCTATTCCTCAGCACCACATAAGCAGAAAAAGCCAGAAGTGGAGCTGTGGCTCAAGTGGTAGAGCTCTAGCCTTGAACTGAAGAGCTGAGGGACAGCGCACATGCCCTCCTACTGACCAAAAAAAAGAAGATATGGTATACATAAACTATGGAATATTACATAGCCATGAAAAAGTAAAGCATGCCATTTGCAGAAAAATGGATGAATGTAATTGGAAGACAGATTAAGACAAGATTATATATAACATATATATTATAAACTTTGTATATTTTCACTTACATGTGAAGCTAGACCTAAAAAAGATACATACAGTCATATATATGCACACACATATATGTATATGCATGTATATGTATGTATATATATGACTATATATATGTATACTCATAATACATAATTACATATACCCATAAACACAGCGCATGAACCTAAGGGAATACTTAGTAAGAGAAGAAGGGAGTAAAGAAAAAGATAGAAGGTGAATAATTCTGAAATACATTGTTAGTGTGTATAAAAACAGCATGGAAAAACCTCCATGAAAAAAAATCTCAGTGAAAGCTCTTGGTCAATCGGGAAACTGGAGGTAAAGGAAAATATACTCTGTCTGGGGTAGGTTCTAGTGAGAGGGCTGGGTTAATGAGGTTGAAGCAGTGTTCCAACTACGAAAATGTATCATTTTCAACTATGAAACTAGAAATTGTTCTAGGAATAGGGCAGAGTGACCGTAGGAATGAGATTGATTGGAATTCATTTTAAACATGTGTGGAAATGGAAAAAGTAAAGCTCCCCTTTTAGCTCATATATGTATGTATCTATGCATATATATTGGTTATGGGGCTTGAACTCAGGGCCTTGGCACTGTTCTTAAGCATCTGTGTTCTAGACTTTGAGCCACATCTCAAAACTTCCAGTTTTCTGGTGGTTAATTGGAGATGAGTCTCACATACTTTCCTGCTTAGGTTTCCTTTGGAGCATGATCCTCAGATCTCAGCCTCCCAAGTGACTAGGATAAAAGGCGTGAGCCACTAGCACCCAGCATGAAATTATTTTTTAAAAAGACAAAACAAACCTAGAAAACAACTCTACTTGGGTGGAAGTTGAAGGACCCACAAGGGCACTTTGGCTCCTAATAGGCAATCAATCAATAGGCAAAGTAGGTTATTACACAGTCTGCACTGAAGACCTGGGCTTCAAAGGAAACTGGGATTCAATACAAGAGATGAGCAGAACGGTGGCTGTTGTGTCTTCTTCGTTTTCCTGAGTTTTGTGGGAGTTTTAATGGAAAATTTGACCCAAATTAGGTAGCACATATAATGGTCCAAACCTTTCAGCATAGGGAGTGTGGTTCATCAATCGTGTCACACCAAGCACCATGTTCTGCTGAAGTCTGTCTTGGGACAATAGAGATAAGGTATGTATAGTGAAGCCAGGCTGAGACAAGAGGCTGAGACAAGTTCCATACTGGCCTGCTTTCCATAGTGAGTTTGATGTCACTTGGGATTCACAGGGTGGGGTGAACATTTCCCCCCAAAAAAACATGAAAAATAAACAAAAAGCTATGAACAATACTGAAAAAAAGTTATAAATACTTCCTATGACTGCCATCTGCTCTGGAGACCAGGAGTGTAATAGTATGACTCTAATGATGTAATAATATCCTTAACACAAGCAAGAAAATAAATGAACACACAAACAAAAAATTGTCCATTCGAAGCAAACACCAAGAGCAAGAACCCAACTTTTACTAACAGAAATTCAAAACATTCAAAGGTTCCAATGCTTTTTCTAAGCCTCTAAGGCTATTCACTACACTAAGGCATGCTACAAGGCTTCTGAATTATCCTGTCATGTTCTCAAATATAACAGATAGTGCTTGCTTCTTATTGATCAATGTCAAAAACAGAATTATGTATCTGGAGAGTCATCTCTGTTGAGATAGTAGTTGATTTTTTTCAGTGCACTCTCAAGGTGTACAGTTAAATCCTGGCAATTGAATCTGAAAAATACAAAGAAGGGTAATTACGTAAAAGACAACCAAACAACAAATTACTTGGGAAGCAGTGTGGGACATGAGGAAGGGGACCACTACCTATATGTCCAAACAGTACCAGTCATCCAAGAAAAGAAAAAGACTGTTAACTGAGAATTAATGCTCAGTCTAGCTCGGACTGCAGTAAGGTCAGACAGCTTAGTGGGTCTGGAAAGCTAAGTCAGCTTTAGAAGACACCAACATAAATATCATTCAAGTCAACCTCAACTCTGAGAGCCAGGGATTTGAGAAGCTCAGAGTAGGATCTGTTCTTATACTTTTCATGCCTAGCACTGTATCATTCTGGTGGCTAAAAGAAAAACGGATAGCTGGACACCAGTTACTGATACTTATAATTCTAGCTGCTCAGGAGGCTAAGATCTGAGAATCACAGTTCAAAGCTAGCCTAGAAAGACAAACCTATGAAACTTTTTTCTTCAATTAAGCACCAAAAAAGTCAGAAATACAGGTGTGGGTCAAGTGGTAGAGTACCTGCCTTGAAAAAAAAAAAGCTCAAGGACAGTACACAGGTCCTGAGATCAAGCCCCAGGACAGGTACAAAAAAAAGGAAAAGAAAGATGTACAATTCCTACTACTACCCACCTTGCTGCTTCTCTGATAGCATGTAGCACAACTTCTCTTTTCATTTCCAGAGGTCCCTGCACTTCCTCAAGCAACTGGAAGATATACTGATATCCTGCAGAAATAGAAAACCCTTAGTGGTTCTCAGAAATAAAAAGAAACACAAGTCAACCTTGTTAAGGGCCTGTCTCAGTAACTATGATGAAGAATATTACACTGTGTGTATATGCTCATGTGAATGTATTTGTATGCATGTTTTAAATGCGTATATTGAGGTACTGTCCCATAGCTAATTACCTAGTCTTGTCAACAATAACCAAGTAAAATCAGAATGGACAGAAAAAAAATCACTTTCCATTGAAACATTTTTAGTGACAATAAAGAACATAAAATTATATGAAAAATGTACTCTGGCAGACTCTCTCCTGAGGCAGTAGCAAACTAGCCTGCATAATAAAATGATAAAGTTTCCCAACGTTTTTAATCATGAGCCATTGTCCCCCTACTTACCATATCCCAAGTTCTGAATTTCCTTCTTGAGTTCACGTTTTATACCAGCATTGAGTTCCTCATTTTCTGCTGTCAATGGATCAGGAACCACTGCCAGTTCAGGCATCATTTCAACTTCTGAGTCACCTGTGGAGTGGTCTTGAGTCAAATATCCTCCCTAATATCTGTATAACCTGGTGATGCCATGTTACAGAAGCAACCCATTTCCACGGCTACCAGGGGAGTGTCCATATACAGAATTCAATCGACTGGGGGGAGCACTACCTCCTGCCACCTGCTTAAGCTTTGATGGAACACTTATCCACAAAGAGCCTTCATGTAGGCCCTCACCTCTCTCCATGGGCTGCTCATGGGTATCTTGGCTACCAGCAGCACCTGCAGACTGAATGGAGAGGACGGGCTGTGAGGTGGGAGGGTTTCATGGCACCACCGGCACCTTGGGCATTTCCCTCATGGGTTTGCACAGAAAATGCTCATGCTTGAAAGTTGACCTCAGCACAGAGATTAAACTAAATCCTCCTGATGCCCTTTGGCTCCACGGATACATGCAGAAACACAGGTGGACAGAAGTAAGAAATCAACCCCTCAAAGATCTCTGGAATCTATTAACTGTTGTCCTGACACAATTTGATGCAAAAAAGCTTAAATCTCACATGATGTCCAAATGCCAGTTATTTGCACCCCATTACTCCAAATTCCATGGTGTAAATGATTCTGCTCCTGCTTCTCTTCTGTTTTAAAGTGGGGATTTTTTCAGTCCAAGTCTGACATCACTATTCCATTTACATATATTCTGCTGTTCCTGGGATCACGCTAGAAGCTGGGATCAACAGTGAGCAACAAAGGCAGGAAGCTACTGTGACCCCTACCATAATGCCACATGTACTGTCATTGTGGGAAAGTCGAAAGGAAGTGCAGTAGCTAGCAGCACACTTGTAGCTGGACTTATGCTAGTGTGAGAAGTGAGATTCTTTTTTTTTTTTGGGTCTGGTCGTGGGGCCTGAACTCTGGGCCTGGGCTCTGTCCACTCTACCACTGAGCCACCTTCCTAGCCCATAGTGTGAGAAGTGAGAAGAGACATGGATAGGAGCAGAATTTATGTTCACAGCTGCCAATGAGTGGTAGGGCCTGATTGGAGATGTCCTCAAAACAGAATCCCAGGATGAGACAGAACTGAACACATGCAGAAGAAGGGGACTAGGATGTGGTGATGGCCAGGGTAGCAGCCATAGTGGAAAGAACCAGGGACCACAGAATGTAGGTGAGAGGCAAACTAAAGAAGGATATTGCCAGGATTCAGGGAAGAATGGATGATAGGCCCAGGAGGTTCATAATCTATAGACCATAGTGAGGATTCAGCTAGTGTTGTGAATACTTAGAAGCATGGAGGATGAATATTATATATGATAGGATCTGGTATGGTCTCATCACATCCTTATTTCATTGTTCTAGCAGAAGGATAAGAGAAACAAATAGGAACAGATTGGTCAGACAACTATTGTTCCAGATAATTAGTGAAAAGTCCTGCTAGAGTGGGCAGAAAATAGAGAAAAATGTGTCATTTGTAAATCACTACCATTGGATTAGAGGTGAAGAAAAAGTGGAAAAGCAAGAAAAGACGAAGACATACGAATAACTTAAACAAGGAGGAAGAAGTCTTAGAAAGTTGTCACAGAAGTAGGAGTGGACAACTGGACCAAATACTACTGATAAAAGAATAACAATGTCAGTTCAAACTGTGAGCCTTGTGTACAGTAGGTGCTTTGTGAAGGAGCTAGATTACACCGGGCAGGAGAGGTGATGATGTGGGGGGTGATGAAGTAGAGAAGATGACCATGGGCTGAGGAGAAATGCACTGCTTTCTTGTGTGAAAGAAATCCCTGTCCCACATGCAGAAATCTCTTTATGTTTACAGCATGACTCAAGTCTTTCATTATATCAGAGGTTTTTCTCCTTTTGCAGACATGCGACCGTCTACCCACCCACCAAAGATATATTTACCTTCTGTCTTTTCCTTAGCTGAGGTCTCAGGCTTGACTTCTACTTCTACTCCCTGTTTGTTCTTGAATGTCAGCTCTTCGGTTTGTTTCTCTGTAGTAGATGATAGAGGAACCATGACTTCTTCATTCACTGGATTCACTTCACTTGTGAGCATTTTAGGATTGTGATCTGCTTTATCAGCCATTATTTCCTGGAAAATAGTAATGGACATATTCCATTCATGATAACATTAAACTATCAGGAAACCACAGAGATACCAAAACATGGCAGAACAGGGCAAAGTGACTCAAATTTCTTAACTCTTATGTAAGAGAATGCAGAAAGATTGTTCAGAAAATATCATAAAAATATACACAAATGAGTTTTATTCAGTCATAAAGAAGAAAGTGGATGTAATGGTAGATCATCAGCCTAAGTGAAATGAGCCAGTTTCACAAAGCAAATACTGAATTTTTCTCACATAGACAGAATTTGGGGGAAGCAAAAAGTCACAAGAGTCAAAAGGGAATTATTAGGATGTAGAAGGAGAAAGGGGTTCAGGACAACGTGATATGTCTGTGGAAATGACATAGTGAAACCCATTATGTGAGTATAATATACACTGATAGATATAAGGAAAACAAAAGAAGCTGAAGTTAAATAGACACCTATGCCTACCAATGGAAATATAAATGCAATTGAAGGTTAAATGCAAAAACTTAACCATGGTCTTAACCCTGGAAATATTTATTATCTCAGAGACCACGTTTTCTACAATGAACAAGACTACCACCAAAAACAGAAAGCCATCCAAAATAAGACAACACTTCTAAATGAATTCAACTGGGAGCTTGGTGCAGTAGTATTTACACATACCACAGTTCCCAGCTGCTCCAGACACTAAGGCAGGAGGACTGCTTGAGTTCAGCTGTTAGAAACAAGCCAGGCAACAATTCTCTTTTGTTAATCTAAAAAAGGAATCTAAGTTAAAATCAGAGTATGCAATTGTGCATGAGAAAATATTGCAGCACTGAGCTGTTACTGCCATTAAAGTACAAAGTATAAGTTAGAAGACATTTTATGTATTACATGCCAATATTGGAAAGGAAGCAGTCTGAAAATCAGTATGCTCTAGAGCCTTAGGAGTACAGATTAAAAAGAGTATATCAGTCCCAAATAGAAGGAAAGCGGAGGGATGGACCTTCATTTTGTTTTTTTTTTTGTCTTGTTCTATTAGTTTTTGCAGTGCCTGGGATCAAAGTCACAAACTACAGCATGTAGGCTAGTGTTTTATCCCTGAATCCATTTCATCCTAGTTATTGCTAATGTGATGGCAAACTAATGAGGTGAAGGGAGGAAAGAATAGTTCAACAGGACAAAGTGGGTCTTTTGAAACCTGAACGTGGTCAAATTGGGGGCAAGATTAATCAAGGAAATGTTGCCTTGAAAATGAATAATATTAGGAAAGAAAGGGGAGACATAGAATGGAACCAAAGAGGTATTAAGGAGGGAAAGAAATCTTAGGGAAAAGAATTCATTTCTGTTTAAAAGTGGCCAAAAATGAGTCCGGGCACCAGTGGCTAATGGCAATAATCCTAGCTACTCAGGAGGCTGAAATGTGAGGATGGAGGGTGAAAGTCATCCAACCAACTAATGCAAGAGACTTCTATCTAAAATCATGAAGAAAAAAAACCACATGTGGAGGTGTGGTTCAAATGGTATAGCACAAGCAGCGAGCAAGAGTCCACAATGCCCAGAGTACAAGATACAAAAGAGGCACAAATAAGGGGGAAAAACTCTTAGCATAAAATGGACACACATGGGCTGGGAAGGTGGCTCAGTGGTAGAGTGCTTGCCTTGCACACATGAGGCCCTGGGTTTGATTCCTCAGCACCACATAAGCAGAAAAAGCCGGAAGTGGTGCTGTGGCTCAAGTGGTAGAGTGCTAGCCTTGAGCTGAAAAGCTGAGGGACAGCGCCCAGGCCCAGAGTTCAGGCCCCATGACTGACCAAAAAAAAAAAAAAAAAGACAGACACACATATAGAGAATTAAAATATATGAAATTTACCAGTATAAAACAGAAAATGTAAATATGCTTGTATCCAATTAAATATTTAAAATTAACAATGAAACGTTCTGAATTTCAATGAAATCTGTTGAGGAACAGCAGGCTGGAAGTTGGGAAAGAGAAAGGAATAGATGGGTTTAATTTGATCAAAATAAATATTACCAAGCAGAAACAGAAGCATTCCTTTCTAGAAAACTTCCACTAAGAAGTCCTGGAAATATTCAGGAATTACACTAAGTTATTTAAAATAGAAAAAAAAATCGTAGAGTTAGCCACACATACTGTGAATACAATCTGAGCATTAACATAGAACAAGGAAGTTTAAAAATCCATCATAGGTCATGATGTAGCTTGAAAAGAGACAAAAACTATTTTAAAAGATTAGCAATGAGCCAGGCACCAAAACACTATTTTAAAAGATTAGCAACGAGCCAGGCACCAGTGGCTCATGCTTATAATCTTAGCTACTCAGAAGGCTGAAATCTGAAGATGAGGATCAAAGCCAGACTGGACAGGAATGTCCATAAGACTCTTATTTCCAATAAACCACTCAAAAACCCAGAAGTGGTGTTGCGACTCAAGTGGTAGAGCACTAGCCTTAAGCTGAAGAACTGAGGGGCAGCAACCAGGGCCAGAGTTCAATCCCCATGACCAAAAAAAAAAAAGATTAGCAATGAAAAATCAGAGAGTATATTTAGAAAAACCTTCTAGTCAAGGGGCTCACGTCTGTAATTCATTTGGGAGAACTGAAGTTTTAGGCAGGTCTGGGAAAAAAGTTATGAAAACAACAAGTTAATTACAAGCTGGGCCTAGTGGTGCTAACTATGCTTCCAAGTTAAGAGGGATGCTTAAATAAGAGGACTGATATCCAGCCTAGGGAAAAGAAGGGGCATGGCTCAGGTTGCAGAGACCCTACCCAGCAAGGAAGAGGCCTTAAGTTCAAAGCCCAGTACCAACAAAAACAAATGAATATATAAATGCATACATAAAGTCATATATATCAAGTCGTGGTGGAGTTCAACTCAGTTCAACTCAGGAGAACAAGGCTGGTTTAACATTGGCAGATCAGTCCAAGTTAACTAGATCCACAACAAAAATGCAAGGAAAATAACAGCATTCTTTTTTTAATGTCATTAACATACATGGTAGTTATAACAAGGGGTCTCTCTTTGAGAAATTTACACATATGCATCTAATGTATTCCAACCAGTCCTACACAGTCTATGCATCTCACAACATCATCAATTACAAAGGTGGATTATATTTCAACTCATATTCATGCTTTAAAGAGATCAGCAACTTGCATAACAGGTAACTGCACCATGTTTCTAAAAGTAAATTTGGATGTCAAAATTTTTTATTTGCCAGTACAGGGGCTTGAATTCAGGATCTTATAATTTCTAGTCTCCTTAACTCTTGCCCAGCCCTCAACCACTTGAGCCACACTTCTAGTCCTAGTTTGTGCCACTTATTTTGGTGATGGAGTCTCCAAGATCTTTCTGCTTCCAAACACCATCTTCCTGATCTCAGTGTTCAATGTAACTATAAATACAGGCCTGCCTCAGGAGCAGTGGGACAAAAGAAAAGTCTAGAAAAATACCAAGGCAAATGCAAACAAAGATATCTAATATACACAGATTATATATATACATACATATATCTGTGTATCGATATCCTCCAAGGCCAGCATGTCCAGGGAAATATAAAAGTGCACAGGTTGTAAAAGAAAAAATACATTTTAATTTTTACACGTGGCTAGATAACAATACTCAAAAGGACATAAATCTATATACAAGTGGTAAATTATCTTGCCTAGTTTCTGGACCTAAGGACAGTAATCAAAATCCAACTGCTCTTCTGGGTAATAATGACAAGGCCCTAGAAAATAAAAAGAAAAACACTGAAAATGAAGCCCAAATATTGAAACCCTAGTAGGGAATAAGATGAAAGTGGTGCTATATCCCTCCAAGAAACACATAAGCCATTATACACAGAAACAAGCCTTGGTGGTAAAAGGAGAAATATTTTTCCTTGGGTGAAAAGAATCCTTACTAACTCACTCTGGTCAGCCCTCCACCCTGCCCTAGAATGATTTTAGCAGTCTAGTTTACAATCTCACCATTTTAAATTTGTTTCAACATCAGCAACTGAAAATCAAGACTACAGAATTCAAAGAGCTTAGGAAACCCAAATGATCTTAAAAAGATAACATCACAGTTAGAACACACAACATCAGATATGGCATTAAGTGCAAAAGGCCAAGTAATGTTGATTTTCATTACATTGCATATGTCACTGGAGCCTGGAGAAGTGAACACACAGTAGAACAGAACAGAGATTCTGGGAACAAATACAGAAATACAAAACAGTTAAATTTGTGACCTACAGACCAGAAAAGTCATTGAAGGAAGGATGTTTCTTTTCCTTACCAACAGCATAAACATCTTGACCCTTACTTTGTGGTAAAATTAGATTATTAAAGATATTACCTTCATAAATTTAAAGAATTTTAAGAAAATAAAAGCTCTAATCACCAATACCTTCATTAGTTAAACTAGAGAACTCTCTTTAGAGACTGTAAAAGCAAAATATGTAATTGCAGTTGATATGCAAAAACTCATTTTTGTAGGTTTAAATGTAGTATGGGAATCCAGAATACATGAACAACTACCAACCATTTTTCTTTGACAGTGCTGGAGTTTGTATTTAGACCCTGGCAGGTGCTCTATCATTTAAGACAAGTCATCAGTGGTTAGTTTAGATTTGTCTTTCAGATACAATCTTGACATTTGTCTTTCAGATACAATCTTGACATTTTAGCTTACAGCTGGCTTCTCACTGCCATGAGTGTATCTAGGTCTTCCTTTACTAGGGTGTCAGGTGTACTCTGCCATATCCAATATTATGCCCCAGAACGACTGGGGCTAAAACCCTTCAAATCTCTGCCTCCCAAGTAGATGGAATTATAGTCCTGTACCACCCCACCCCTCCTAGTACTTTATAATACAATGTGCCAACAAAACTGATGCAAGCAATCATTAAACAAACAGACCTTCTCTATTACTACTTCAGGCCTGGAACCCAGATTGTGAGTAGGCACGGAATAGAAGCTGAGGCGAAATGTTAGGCGGACTCTATGTCAAGTAATAATCATGATGGAACTCTTATTTCACTGAGAGGCACAGGTGGGAACATCACATTCCTTATCTGGCCCCAGAAAAATGTAAGATCCCTCTGAAAAAGAACTAACACCCAAACATCAGAGGAATTGTCCTGGGAATAGTTCATATCCTAGAATACCTCCTGCATGGCTAGCTCCAGACTGTGAGTGCTACTTCACCTCCTATCAAAAAAGAAAAAAAGCTGGGTGCTGGTGGGTCATGTCTGTAATCCTAGCTACTCAGGAGGCTGAGATCTGAGGATCACGGTTCAAAGGTAGCCCAGGCAGGAAAGTCCTTGAGACTCTTATCTCCAATAAACCACTAGGAAACTGGAAGTGGCACTGTGGCTCAAGAGGTAGGTAGAGCACTCGCCTTGAGCTGAATTGCTGAGGGACAGCGCCCAGGCCCAGAGTTAAAGCCTCACAACGGAGAAAAACAAAAAGAAATAGTCAAAAGATCCACAGTTAGTTGAGTCAGGAACAACTGCAATTGTAGGCACAGCAAGAGTGACAGCTGCCTAAGCAGGATGTGCTTACAAGTTAGAGATGATGCCGAAAGTTTTCCATGATGCTGAACACACATTCACAAGTAGGTGCCAAGAGCCATTGCAGAAATGCTAGAGTGAGGGCTGGGAAGGTGGCTCAGTGGTAGAGCGCTTGCCTTGCATGCATGAGGCCCTGGGTTTGATTCCTCAGCACCACATAAGCAAAAAGAAAAAAGCCGGAAGTGGCGCTGTGGCTCAAGTGGTAGAGCGCTAGCCTTGAGCTGAAGAGCTGAGGGACAGCGCCCAGGCCCAGAGTTCAGGCCCCACGACCGGACCCCCCCCCCAAAAAGAAATGGTGGACTGAGTGCCTAGAGAACACATGTCTTGTCGCTAAGGGCAAGCAAGCCAGGAAAGTCCCCACCTCCCTGCTAAACCCGAGACCAGGTTCCAACGGAAACATCTGCCCTCTAAGCTACAGTGGTTCATTCTCAAAAATCTTCTACTAAGACGTCAACACAACCTTGAAGGTCCATTCCCTGGCAGACATAGCTCTGCTGGAAGCATAGGGGTCTTACTCAGCAGCTGCCTCACCAGATAAAGCCCTCCCAACCTCAAACTCACGAAAGACGCATTGCCAAGGATTCGGCAGAAACAGGGACTTCAGCACCCTTTTGTGCCAAAATGTAATGGTGGAGGAGCCACGCCCACTTTCCAAGCATTTCCGGATACCAGAAACCACGTGACGGAAGCTAGGAGCCTGAGGAGCCGCCAATATGGAGGAAGAGTCCCAATGGCGGGGAATATTTACAAAACTGTGTCTTGCCTTCCTCCCCCCCCCCCGCCATGCTCTGAAACCTCAAAGAAGGCGTCCCCCCACAAACCAGAGCATCACTCCTGAAAGCCCTAAGAGAACTGAGCCCAGCCCCTGACCACAGCCCCTCAGCCCCCACGACACAAACAAAACCCAGGGCGCATGGGAAACCCTTCTCCTCCTGCATGCGTACACAGGTATATTGGTATTGCAGGAACACTAAGCCGCCAAAAAAACCCCGCTAAAACATAGGGAACTCCCTTCCCCTTCTAAGGCATAGCAAACTCCCTACCCCCCCCCCCTGCAACCCCTGGCACGTTGTCTGTCAATACCTAAGGCAGACACACCTTAGGACTGGTATCAGAACCCCAGGGAACAGATTCTAACCCCCTCTGCATTCCCAATGATGAAATACTGACCTAAAGTTAAGAGTCTGTGAGCACCTCTAAAGTGGCCCAGCAGCTACGCACCTCACTTCCAAAATGGCGGGATAGCTTTGTACCTCACTTATAGGCGGACTTTCTAGGACCCACCTTCAGACAAGGCTATGCACTCACACACACCCTCTAGGGGGCTGGGGTAGAAGTGCAGGGCTACTCTCCCAAAATACATTTTTGTTATTGTAAAGATGATGGACAGAGTGGTTACAAGTTATATAAATCAGATAATAGCTACATTTCTTTTCAAAGTCATCTCTTCCCTCACTTTCTCCCAATTTTTTTCCTTGTGTCCCCCACACAAGTTGTATAATTTATCTACACCATAGTGTCTAGTAAGTTTCATGGGTACATGCTCACACCTTGCCCCACCTTTTCTGTGCTCTCCCCTCACATTACCCAAAACAGATACATTTACAAACAAGACAAAAGGTACAGAAAACAAAAACAGGAGAAAAAAGCTTAATAAATAGTGATGTTGTTATGGATACAGGTTGTGTGTGTGTGTGTGTGTGTGTATGTGTGTGTGTGTGTGTTTGTCAGTCGTGGGGCTTGAATTCTGGGCTTGGGCACTGTCCCTCAGCTCTTCAGCTCAAGGTGAGTGCTCTACCTCTGGAGCCACAGCACCACTTCAGGTTTTCTAGTGGTTTATTGGACATTAGAGTCTCAAGGGCTTTCCTGCTCGGGCTGGCTTTGAACTGTGATCCTTAGATCTCAGCCTCCTGAGTAGCTAGGATTACAGGCGTGAGCCACCGGTGCTCGCCCAGTAGAATTTTGAGGAACGCTCCAACTAGGGCACTGCCACTCCCCCCTCCCAAGTGGCTGGTAGGATACTTATGGTTAAGCTGCCCTAGGGTGAAGTTTTTGGTTTCAAATTTAATTCACAACTGAACACTAGGGTGAGAATAAAGTCAGAATAAGAATTTACAACCTCCATGCTTGCAAGTTTTCTTGTGACTCTCCTAAACTTTAAACTTTATCAGTAAACACTCTTGAAAGTTTTCTACTATTGTGTCTGTTTATGAACAGTTTTTATGAGAACCAGCTGGGAGGGAAAGCCCGCCCCACGTTGATGTCACACCTGCATGCCCCCCCCCCCCCCCCCGCCACTGAAAGGGGTGGAAAGTCCCATCCCATGCTTAGGTCATCACGCCCCCTGCTGGGGGTGCCGGGCATCAAAGGGCGTCAGGTGGCGGGTGTCTGGGAGGGTTGGGCCACGGGATATAGAGAGGCAGGGGGTTCCAGGGAAGAGAGAAAAGAGAGAGAGGGGGTTCCAGGGAAGAAAGACAAGAGAGACAAAGATAGAGGGGAGAGGAGAGAAAGAGGGGAGAGGGAAAAAGACAAAACCCCTGAGGAGCGGGAAGCTGACATCACTTCTATGCATGCCAGGACACTGGAGGGCAGAGCATCAAAAAGGTGGCTTTTGGGTGCAGACCACTGGATGTAGAGAGCATAGAGAGAGGAAATTCTGGGGAGGAGATAAAGAAGATGAATCAACACAAGAGACAGGCAGCAAGGCACGTGCCTCGAGGACCAGAACAGTGCCAGACTGAGGGGAGATCTGGGCCAGCAGAGTGACTGGAGGACAGGCCTGGGAATTGCCGGCTGGCTAAGAGGCCTGAGAAAGCCCAGGCTGACCTGAAGGGACACCTGGGCTGGCAGAGAGGTCTGCTCAGAGCTGAGAAGCCTGAGGGGCCCTGGGCTGGCTGAAAGGCCTGTGGAAAAGCTTGTGAAGAGCCAAGAGGCCTGCAGAGATTGGAGAGAGGCCTGTGGAGAGGTCGAGAAGACTGCACAGGGCCAAAAGGCCTGCGGAAAGGCCTGAAGAAGGGCGAGAGGCCCACTGAGAATTGGAGAGGTCCGTAGAGAGTCTTAGAGGCCTGAAGAGAGTCATAGAGGGCTGCAGAGAGTCCAAGAAGCCCACAGAGGATCAGAGAGTCCGTCAGAGAGTTGGAGAGGCCTGTGAAGTAGAGATGCCTGTAGAGAATGGAGAAGTGAGGCTTCTAGGAAGGAAGAAAAAAAGGGAAAAAACACATACCCTTGGAGGTTGCAGCTGCTTCTGGTACTGAGACAATCTAGGATAGGGTTGCAGACCAACTAATAAAACTCCTTTGTCACCTTTAACTGTGCCTTCATGGATTTTCTCATTTACAGGTTATTACAGAAGGGAGGAAAGGAAAGAAAAAGAGAGAGATGGGGGGGGGAGTGGAGAGGAAAGTGGCAATAGGTGCCTCCCAGAGCAGAGATGCCCACAAAGGCATGCAAGGCCTGTGAAGAGCTGAGCGACCTGCAGAAAGCAGAGGCCTGTGAAGAATGAAGACCTGTGGGAAGGAGGAAGGAAGGAAAGGAAAAAAAGAACTCGCCCCCTTGGAGGCTGCAGCTGTTCCTGATTATGAGGTTGGACAGAGCAGTTGCAGACCAACTAATAAAACTTTTTTTTTGATTGTGAAAATACCATACAGAGGGGTTACAATTACATGAGCAAGGTAATGAGTACATTTCTTATCAAGCGTTGTTACCTCCTCCTTTGTTTCCCCTTCCCATCTCTTCCCATCTAACCCCCCACCCTAATAAAACTTTTAACCATGCCTCCATGGATTTTCTTGCTTCCAGGTCATTATATTTTCTTGTTATATTTTCTAACATATGAGACAAGGATTGTCTTGAAAATTCCCAGATTCATATAGTCCTCCTGTTGTGCTGTTTAAAACTACTTATATTGTGATAACTTGTTATAGTAGCAAAAGGAAAGATTAGCACAAAGAGGAAAGATGATACCATTTTAGCCAAAGCCCAAAGAGCTGCTTTCAACTGTAGGAAAACCCAATATTGGCCAACAGACACCTCCAGAAGCAATTTCAATCTATTTTGAATGATAAAATAAGGACTTTCATTTCCAAGCAATCTGATCATCTTGGAGGTACAGAAAGAAACCTTGGTGCTCATAGGGGGGGGTGGGGAGGGAAGGGCGTAAGGAAAGGAGAGGAGAAGGGAGGGGAGAGGGAAAGGGAGATAAGAGTCACAAGAAGAGGGAAAAGCCTCCCTGGGTTTGGACTGCCACTGCAGAGGCATGGCATCCTAGTCACCATGAAAACAGGCCCTGCCCCAGCCCCTCAGGCCTGTCTGACCACTGGGCAGGCGCACAGCCCCCTCCATGCATAAGCAGTGCTCCTCTGAGCCAGTCAGCCCGAGTCTCTGTGCCATCCATGCAGCTGTCACTATGGCCCATTACAAAGCCACCGAACTGAAGTGTGAGCAGTTCTGGAGATACTTGAAGTCAGAGGTGCTGGACACACTGACCAGGGTGTTAGTAGTCTTATATGAAGAACTAGAGGAACCTAATAGTGCTTTGGATTTTTTTTAAAGCATCGCTTAGGAGCTGCCACCCGAGAAAATACAGAAATAGAGCTGCTTTGCTAATTTCTGCTCATTGGCAGAAATGAAAGAAAAATATGAAGCTTCTGTAGAAGAAAATAAAAAACTGAAAGCAAAGCTTGCTCAGTATGAACCACCTCAGGAGGAGAAGCATGCTGAATAGGATTCTTCTCAGTTGAAAAGACATTGAAAAATGGTTTTGTATGACTTGAATAGTTTGTATAGTATATACAAAGTAGTTTGTATAGTATATAAACTTCTAATATGTTAAGTTCACTTATCACAGTTTGTTATTAAAATATATTTAGAATCATTCATAAAAACTCAATATTACATCCATTGGGTCTTAAAGCAGGAGAATCCAAAGGAAATTCTGAAGGAAACCTAAATGGCAACCAATTAATTACCTTAAAGGACATTCTGTTTTATTAGTCTGGTTGAGAATTATGGTACTGGTTATGGTTTAGCCAAGGAATTTTAGCAGAGAGATAGATTTCTTGGTTTGGTTCAGGATGTGAGCATAGATACAATCATTCTTTACAATGATGATGACAGTGATTATATTCCTTTATGCAGCTGTAAAGTTGTGTGACGTAAGATGCTTTTGCATGAGTTTCTAGGAGTCTTCTGCTGTTTATATAATGCAAAACAAATAACTCCTTTGCTACCACTTTGCCTTAGAGAATGTATGTCAATGTGAACTTTGACATGTTTCCCTTGTATGCAATCATGCTGTCACAAATGTTGCCTTTGCTCTGTTTTAGTGAGTCCTAGCTGTACATTAGCCTTGTTTGCTTAATGATGCAGTTATCATGATTGCAGTTTACATAATTTTAAAAAGGATCACATTGATATGCTGCCTTACCTAACTGCTAAGTTGAGCACAAAACAAAGTTAATAGAATTGGGGGCCCAGGCACAAACTGGGATGGGAAGGGAAATGAGCCATATATAACGGAAAATTATAGGCTGTGAATTTTTTAAAAAGAAGAGTGAGAGGGACCTTGTGTTTTAAGAAATATTTGATTAGATTATCTTCACATTTCTGAAAGAGATTTTCTGGACTAAAGGGAAGTAACATGATAGGAAGAAAATAAAATTGCCTATCCATTGAGTGTTGTGTTGAGACACCACTGTTCCTTAGAAACAAAGGAACAACTAAAATTACTTAGATAAACACAAACTGAGAGAGCTTCACCACTGGAACTTGTGTATAAAAAACATTCTGAAAAGCCCTTCAAGTTGACCAGTGTTCCTGGAGTGCACCTAACACCAACGCAAGCCTTTGTGTCCATGACCCTGAAGTGAGAGTTACCTCATTGACATCCCTATCTCTGAAGTGTCAGATTTCAGCTAAACTACTTTTCTTCATGGGTTTGCATCTAGCATAGGTTTTCTTAGGAGTGTTTTCACACTTGAGTCAAGTGAGCTACTTTCCTAAATAAATCCCTTTTTGTCTCTGTCTGTATATATCCCGTGCAGGACAAGTCCCTAGAGACATGGCTAAAATAGAACCAGCTTTTGAGCTGGGTCTCATGGCCATTGCTATAATTCCAACATTCAGGTGAGACTGTCACAGATGATAGCTGGCTCCAGAACAACTTTGAACAGAAAGAGAAAACACAGAGTAGAAGGAAGTGAAATGAGGGAGGAGAAGGGAGGAAGGTGGAGAGGAAAGGGTGAAGAGGGGGGAAAGGAGACAAGAATGCAAGAAAAGAAAAGGTCAGAAAAGAAGAGGAAATAAAAAAGAAATGGAAACCAGAAAGGTGATAAAAGAAGCCTTGAGAGGAGAAAAGAACATGGAAGTGAAAAAAGGAATGGGTTGAAGACACGAAAGTGAAGATAAGAAAGTAATGATAAGAAAAGTAATTTTTCATGTGTCACTTTGGTACCATATCCCAGAGTGCTTAATCAACTTCCAAGGGGCAGATTGTCTTGCTCTGCTTCCATCAGAGAAAGGTACTTTGTTATATACTTGAATAGACAGCTACTCATAGTGGATTTATGTGGAGAGCTGCGGGAGCCGCGACCAAAGACGGCTGCAAAAGCAAAAATGGCAGGGCCGCGTGGTGCGGCTGCGACCTAAGATGGCGCGGGCTCCCGCCTTCCGTCTTCCTCGTGACGAGTGCTCTCTGTAAAAAACAACTCCTTATATGGTTATGACTTGGCTCCTAGTTTGCTTCCGTGTTTGCAGCCCTATCAGTATATGCCACATGGCGCTTCAGGATTGGCCATCCAGGAGGCTTATAACCGGAGCGCGGGGGCGGATGGGGAGGAGAAGCAGGAAGAAGAAGGAAGAAGCGGGCAGGAGAGAAGTAGGAGAAAAGAAGCTGTAAATAAGGTCCTGAATAAACCGTCTGAAAGAAGGACCTGTTGTCGCGTCATCCTTGCGGGTCGAGGCGGTCGCGACAGATTTAAATTTTCATTGCCATTCATTATGCTTTGGAAAAATCATTTGTCATCTTAAGAAGGGCCAGGATGACCAGCATAGTATCTCATATTACTTCTCTTCTAAACATGGTACTTTCTTCCAGGAAATGTGCAGTGATAGACTCATGGAAACACTGTCATACATCCCACTGTCCTGAAATAGCTGCCTCAAACAGTAGCATGATTGTTTGAAGCTTCACTAACAGTCCTAGCTTTGTCAATTCTAGGGTCTGACCTTGGGGCCATATGTTCCCTAAGCAGGTGCTCTACCTCTTAAACTACAACTCCAGTGAGTTCTAGCTTGTGACATCAGTGCTCTGGGCTTCCTGAATGAGGGAGAAAACTTTCTTATCATGAGCCATGTGGAAGTGCTTCTTCCATAGTCAAGTTAACAACTTCAGCAAGGAAGGGATAAGGTAGAGGGATTCCTTTTGATATTATTCTTCCATATCCCCTAGCAAAACTTTCATTTTCAGCAACTTTTGGCTGTGAGCTCACAGGTCCTTATTTTGATGTACTGAGTTATTACAATTTGTGGCTAGTAGGGGCAAAAAAAGAGTTCTAATACTCTGTTTCAATAACTGGGCATAGTGTCATTCCTGTTGTCCTATCCAGTGGAAGGACAATGACTGAGATAAAGTAATATGTACTTGTAATGCCAAGTTGCACAGAGAAACACAGTAGAATGATCTCATCCCAGAACAGTAATACATAAAACCAGACAAACGTTGAAAATAACCAAAGCACAACTGGAGTACAAGTGTGGCTTGAGTAGTACAGCACCTTCCTTGAAAGTCCAAAGTTCTTAGTGAAATCTCCAGTATGGTAAAAAAAATACTGCTTAGTGTGTGAGTCATATTTATGTATGCCCCTAGTGTAGCAGTCAGAGGCTGAGGTGGAAAGATGGCAAGTTGGGGCCAGAATGGGTTCAATGACAGCTTCCTTGCCAGGATGACCTCCCTAGCAGAATCAAGTCATGTACACAGAAAAATACTTACTGCCTCTGTGTGGATACTGAACATCTTACCTGGGCACTTTGGGTTACTCATAGACAATCATGAACAAAATGGTTTACAATAGAGTCTGCATTAAAAACTCCTGTCTTGAAAGAAACTGACTCCAAACAAGGTTGTGCTTGCAAACACAGTGCCAAAGCAACTTTTATTAACAGAAATTCACAACAGTTATAGGTTCTACTTCTTTTCTTTAGTCTCTATAATACAATTATCATAACATGCTAAGAAGCTTCAGTATTACCTTGCTACTTTCTCTAACATAGCCAATTGCTTCTGCCTTTTTACTGATCAATTTCATAACAGGGTTATATATTTTGGTTCTCATTATCCCTGCTGGACAGGAAGACCATTAGTTCCATAACTTTCTTAGAGTTGTTAATAAAGTGTTCATTTCTGAACCTGAAAATAAAGAGAGAAATCATCAACCAAAAGACATGGAAAGAACCAATGAGTCTGTAAGCACTGTGGGACCTGGGGCAGAGAAACCACCACAGACATGGAAGTAAGGAGTCTTGTTGACACAGTAAATGTCACAAAAGCAATGACAAAGACTTATTTAAGAATGAATGCCAAACTCAGGTCAGCTCTGGAACCCAGCAAAACCAGACAGCTGTATGAGTGAGGGTCACCGACTGAGAAGCTCAGTGAAAAGGGTTATTCTATATACCTCTCACCTGGCCCAGCTGCAAAAAGAATATAGACATTTCCTATTGCCGCCCACCTCATTGCTTCATAGATGGCATATTCAACAACTTCCTCCTTGACTCTTGTAGGTCCTTCCACTTCCTCAAGCAACTGGAAGATTCTTTTATAAGCTGAAGAGACAAAAAAACAAACAAAAACCTCAGTGGTTTTCAAATATGAAGAATAGAAGACAATTTTGATGAATGCCTGTCTAAATAACATTGCATCATGGTGTACAATGTTAGTGTGGGGGTGGGGGTGTAGGGGTTTAAAAAAGTTTAGTTCATACTAGCCCATACTTAATGAGCAAAGTCAAATGTGATCCAGTAAGATTAAAATAAAAAAGATCAAGAAAGATCTATTGGGATGCATTAGTCACAGTACAGAGGAACCAATGTGAATTATGTAAATACGCAAATCTGGCCTCCCTCTCCTCAAGCAGTTGACCACATGACCATCTCCCCCAGTTTATCATTAACCATTCTTACTTTTTTCCAGCTGCTGAATTTCCATCGTGAGTTCACTTTTTATAACAGCATTGATTTCCTCAGGTCCTGCCAATAAGAAATTGATAAATATAATGGAAGGGGAAGGTTTACTAGAGGTGAAGATGTTGACGTGAGGACTCAGCTCAAGATGCACTGTACACATAAACTTCTTTGTTAAATGGCAAAAAAGTTCAAAACAATCTAAATTTAAGCTAACTAAGGGAAGGAGTGGGTTGGGAGGGGTGGATAGGAATGTTGAAAGGGGTGACACTGGTCAAGATGCATTGTATTCATTAGGCTTTGGTGAGTGGAAACTTGTTTGTACAATTACTTAAAAATAATAAAGATGTTTTAAAAATTCAGGCACTACAGCTGATACAGACATTGCTTCAACTTCTGAGTTACCTGTGGAGAGGTTGCTGCTCAGATCCCCTCCCCAAAATGTTACCACCATTTCTGAGAAGCAAACGGTTTCTGCTGCTACCAGGGATATGTTCACACACAGAGAATCCAGTGGACTAGGGGGAGCACTACCTCCTGGCTACCTGCATAAGTTCTGATAGAAGACTTTTCCACAAGGAGCCTTCATGTGGGCCCTCACCTTCCTCCATGGGCTGCTCATGGGCGTCTTGGTTGCCAGCAGCATCTAGAAACCAAATGGAGAAGATGAGCTATGAGGTGGGAGAGTTGCATGGCACCACATGCACCTTGAGGTGATCCTCAAGGGATAAACTAATTGATTTCAGAAGATGAGTATTTCCAAGAGAAAAAAAAACTCATGCTTGAAAGTTTGCCTCAGCTCACAAATTAAAAATAAACCCTCCTGACAGCCTCCGGCTCCACGAATGCATACAGAAACCTAGGTAGACAGGACAACCAAGAATCAACCCTTCACAGATTCCTATGCCCCATACTTAACTGTTGCCTTGAGACAATTTGCATGCAGAAATGCTGAAATTAGCATACCATTGCCCCAAATCCTATGGGGACAATGCTTGTCACAATTACTTCTGGGTCAAATTACACCCCTATGTCATTTACACACACCTGCAGTTCCAGACACCCAGTAAGAAGCTGGCAACCAGCAACGAGGAACACAAGACAGGAACTACCTCTTTGTCCTAATGCAGCTTCCATTGTCATGAGGGTTGATACCCAATAGGAGGTGCCCAGTGGGAAGATGCATGCTCATAGCTGGTATCAAGTCGGTTAATAACAGATTATGGATGTGAAAGGAAGCAGTAGAGGGAATGGCCATAGCTTTCTAGTGGTGGCAGTCCTTTCTAGGAAGTGTCCTTGAAAAATCCAAAGAGGAGACAAAGCTGGCTTTACCACATCCAGTGACTGAGTGATAGGATGTGGTGAAGGTCACAATAGCAGCCACCAGACAAAGAAAGAGAGAACCCAGAGTGAAGCTGAGAAGCAAGAGAGAATGGTGGTCCAGGAAGTACACAGTCTGTGGATCTTACTGTGGTCTCAGTTTAGGGAATGGAGGATTGCTTTCAGCATAGCCTGCAGTAGCATAGTCTAACCACTTGTTTCATCATTGTTGTGGAAGGCTAGAGTATATCTCAGAGGCAGGATTTGAAAGGAGAGTGAGCAGAAGAGAACTGCTGGAGCTAACTGGTGATATGCTAGAATGCGTTAGGAAATAAAAGAACAATATGTGATATAGAAGTTATTACAAACTGGGTGCTGGCAGGTCATGCTTGTAATCCTAGCTAATAAGAAGGGTGAAATCTGAGGATCACAGTTCAAAGCTAGCCTGGTCAGGAAAGTCTGTGAAACTTATCTCCAATTAAATCACAGAAAAACCCAGAAGTGGCTCAAGTCATAGAGTGCTATCCTTGAGCAAAAGGAGTGCAGGGACAGTGTTTAGGCCTAGAGTTCAAGCCTCAGGACCAGCAAAAAAAGTTATTAAAATTGCATTAGAAGACAATGGAAAAGACCAAGATGGACATTTTGGCCAAGATGCCAATTTTATCTTTCCTTACTTTCCACTAAGAAATAAAACAAGGTGAATGGAAGTCCTAGAAAGTTGTCACAGAGGAGGCAGTGGACAACTGGAAAAAATACTGCTGAGAAATGAAGGGTAACATCAGCTTAGACTGAGTCTTCTCTGTAAGGTCCGCTCCTGGATGGTGAGTAGACTCCACCCTCCTCGCAGAAAAGTCTCCGCCCAGTACCTGTGTTACCTAGGCAACTGGCACACCTGGAAGAGGTCACATCTGCATCTGCTGAGGTCATATCTGAATTTGATGTGGCCACACCTTTCTCCACCCATACCCTAGATAAGGCCTAGCCCAGGGCCAGACTACCTCTTTCCCAGCTGTGTGGAGTGCCAACCTGGCCTGGTCCCAGCAGGTCTACTGAATAAACCTACCCCTTACCTGAATAGCACGTGCGTGGTACTGTTCTTACTCAGCCACCTCTTTTTAAAAACCTAATATGGATTTTGTGTGGTGAATAAAGCAAGATCCCTTGTATTCCACCAGGCAAGAAAGCTAATGATGGGGGAAGGAAAAGTATGAGCAGGGTGACCATGGGCTGAAAAGAAATGCACTGGATTCTTGTGTAAAAACTGAATCTGTGCTATGTTCAGGGAGTTCTTTATGCTCATAGCAACTCCCAGGACTTCCATCCTTTCAGAGAGGTTCTTTCCTGTTACAGACATGCAGGCATCTACCCATTCATCAAACATATGATTACCTTCTTCCTTTTCCTTGGCCAGGGTCTCAATATGGGGTTCTTCTTCACTTGCAAGTTGATTTTTGAATGGCAGGATATTAGTGCACTTCTTAAGTGGTTGCGAAAGATCCATGACTTTATTCATTGGGTTCCCTTCAGTTTCAGGCTTTCCCAAATTCTTACCTGCTTCATCAGCCATTGTTTCCTGGAAAATAGCAAGTGAGAATCTTCCATTCAGGATAACATTCAATTACCATACAACTAGAAACATGACTGAAAGCTTCCAGGGCAAGATGGTGAATGAGAAGTTTCCTCCATGTAGCTGTATCATTACGCAGTAAAAGTGACTCCTCTGAACTGTAGTAATTCCTAAGAGAATGTGTAGAAAGATTGTCCATAAAAACAGGGCAAGGGCTGGGAAAGTGGCTCAGTGGTAGAGTGCTTGCCTTGCATGCATGAGGCCCTGGGTTCTATTCCTCAGCACCACATAAGCAAAAAGAAAAAAGCTGGAGGTGGCGCTGTGGCTCAAGTGGTAGAGCACTGGCCTTGAGCTGAAGAGCTGAGGGCCAGCGCCCAGGCCCAGAGTTCAGGCCCCATGACCGGACCCCCCCCCCAAAAAAAAACAGGGCAAATATTCACAGAGGTATTTTATTGAGCCCCAAAGAAGAATGTTATGTTGTTGGCAGGAAAGTGGATGGAACTGGAGATCATCAGGCTCAAGAGAAATGAAGTAAGAGTGAGCTCTGGTCTTAAAACTTATGGCAATCATCAAAATAAAAATTCAATTAAGGCTTAAATGGAAAAATAAAATAAAAATAGAGCCTAAATGCAAAAAAATGCCACATTTTTAACCATGGAAATATTTATGTTCATGGAGGTCGTGTTCTCTATGTATAATACAAATTGGCATAAATGCCACTAAAAATATGGATATTACAAATACATTTTAAATAAATACAACTGAGAGCCAGGTATATTGGTGTACACCCGAGTTTCTGCTTGCTGCAAAGGCTGAGGCAGGAGAATTGTTTGAGCCTAGGAGTTGGAAGCCAATTGGGGTGAATAAGATTGAAAAAATTTTAAAACTTCAATTGAAAAAGAGGAACATATTGCATCATCAAACTTGCAGGGTACCATTTCGTGGAAGCTAAAGGGTTTCTTATTGTTTCAGAAAGAAGTCTGAACACTGATAAGCTGGGTAGCCTTAGGAAGATAGAAGAGCAGATCAAGCTCAAATCCAAAGAAAAGTGAATGAAGGAGCTTCATCGAGATTATTTTAAATGATACTTTAAAAATCTTGGAGCTGAGTGCCAGTGGCTCAGGCCTGTAATCCTAGTTATTCAAGATGCTGAGATTTGAAGATCACAATTCGAAGCCAGCCTGAGCAGGAAAGACTTGAGATTCTTTTCTCCTTTTAACCACCAAAAAGCCAGAAGTAGAGCTGTGATTCAGGTGTTAGTGCACTAGCCTTGAGCTAAAAAGCTCAGAGACAGTGTCCAGTTCCTGAAGTCAAGCCTCAGGACTAGCACAGAAAAGAAAGAGAAGAGAAGAGAAGAGAAGGAAAGAAAAGAAAGGGAAAGAAAAGGGGAGGGAAGGGGAGGAGAGAGCAGGGAAGGGCAGGGGGAAGGAAAGGAAAGGCAGGGGGGAAGAGGAGGGGAGGGAAGGGCATTTGAGGAGAGTAAAGGGCAGGAGAGGGGAGGAAAAGTTAGGGGAGGGAAGGGCAGGGAAGGGAAGAGGAGGGTCTTGGTGCCAGTGGCAAGGGTGTGGAATCTTAGCTACTCCAGAGACTCAGCTGAAGCCAGCTTGGGCAGAATATACCATGAGAGCTTTTCTCCAATTAATGAACTCAAAGCCAGGCTGTAGGCATAGCATAACTTGTAGGGTGCCAGTAAGCAAGCAAACTAACCAAGCAAGGGGCCCTAGGTTCAAATCTCAGTGCCACTTATAAATAATAAATAAATAAATAAAATTAATGGGGTCATTGCTCAAATCATACCAAGAGTGAAGCTTTGGGTTGAAAAACAGTTCCACAGAAAAATAAAATGCATAAGTAAATAAATAATCCATATATATATATATATATTCATAGTAAAATTTAAGGCTGGTGGCACAGACTGATTCAGTATTTGAAGATAAGTCTGTGTTCACTTCATCTGGAAAAAAATGCAAGGATTCACACCATCCTTTTTAAAGATATGTTACATCTCAACTCCTATTCACACCTAAAAATGAACAAAAATTTGGAAAATAAGAAACTTCCTCAGTTTTCTATTTTAAAAAAGTTCAAAGACAATTTTTTTTATTTTCCATGTAATAGGATTTGAGCTCAGAGCCTCAAAATCATTTGACTTATTTTCTTGACTGTCAATGTCAATGGCATTGATAGTACTGATAATGTAGACGGAGTCAAAATTATGTTTTGCCTATGCTCTTGTGAATCAAGGCTATGTTTTGCTTCTGTAACCTTTTTTGCTTGCTCTTGTAAACATCACCTATGTGAAACCCCTTAGTATAAAAGTCCCCCATGAAAAGCAAATGGGGCTGTTCTCCAGCTCTGTGAGCTGAGGACAGATGCCATGTGTCTAATAAAAGGCTTCCAGCCAAACTGACTGAGTGCTGGTAACTCCTTTCATTGAATGTGGTTTTGAGTCCCACTGGTGACAGGGAGCTGGGATATTTTAGGCAGCAGGGAAATACAAGTGTCAGGGCCGGGAAGGAAAAAAAATGTTTCATTCTTCACAGATTATATTTCTAGGTAGATAAACTACTCAAAAGGATATTAATATATTATGGCTAGCAAATGACTATAGCCAAATTTCTGGACCTAGGGATGTTAATCATAACCCACCTATATTTCTGGGTAATAAATAATCACTAAAAGTTATATTACCATTAAAAATATACCCCAAAATTGAAACCACAGAAGTAAATGGAATAAAAGCTTTGCTACAGCCAAAGGGACAAACTGGCAGAGAAACTGAACTTCTGTGTAATTGAAGATGAATATTCTTTCCATGGATGGAAAAAGTCCTTATTGAACCTCACTATGATCATCTCCAAAACCCACCCCAGAATGACTTTACCAATCTAGTTTACAACCCACCATGTTAAATTTGTTTGGACACTGGTAAGCTGACAAGACTACAGAAGTCAAAGGTCTTAGAAAACCAGTCTTCAATGAAAACAACAAAGTTAAAAAATGCACACTAAGCTAGGAGCTTGTAGCTCATATCTATAATCCTAGCTATTCAGAAGGCTAAGATCGGAGACTCACAGTTCAAAGCCAGCCTGAGCAGGAAAGTCTGTGAGACTCTTACCTCCAATTAACCACCAAAAAGCCAGAAGTGGAGCTGTGGCTCAAGTTGTAGAGCACTGGCCTTGAGCAAAAAATGCTCAGGGACAGCATTGAACTTAGGACTGGCCCTAAGTTCAAGCCCCAGGAACTTCACAAAAAATAAAAAGACATATATTACCAGATATGGGATTGAATGTAAAAGGCAAATAATGAAAACCATAGGGCAATGGGGAAGGAATAGGTTGAATATACCAATGCAACTAGACAGAATCTGGAAACAAATATGGAAATAGAATATGGCCAGATTTGTGAATTTGGGGCCAGAAAATTGTTGCCCTAAGTCCACAGCACAGACACCATTGACCACATTGACCCCTACTTTGTGGGAGAACTAGAATATCCAGATATGATCTTTGTGGATGAATATTCAGGATCTCATCTCCGTGGGTTCAGGATAGGAAACTTTTTTTTCCCATCCTGGAGCTTGAACCCAGGGTCTGGATGCTATTGCTGAACCACTTTGTGCTCAAGGCTAGCACTCTACTAGTTGAACCACTATGCCACTTCCAACTTTTTTAGTAGTTTACTGGAGATAAGAGTCTTACAGGGACTTTTCTGCCAGGGCTGGCTTTGAATCGCAATCTCAGATCTCAGCCATCTGAGTAGCTTGGATTACAGGCATGGGCCATCATTGCCCAGCTAGGAAACACTATTTTTAAATAGAAAAAAAAAGCATGTCAGTCACTGTTGGCTCCTATCTGTAACCCTAGCTGCTCAAAGGCTGAGATCTGAGGATCATTGTTCAAGGCCAGCCTGGACACAAAATTCTGTGAGATGCTTATCTCCAATTAACTAGCAAAAAGCTAAAAGTAGATCTGTGGCTCAAGTGGTAGAGTGTTAGACTTGAGCAAAAAAGCCAAGTGAGAAGGAAAGGCCCTGAGTTAAAGCCCCAGTAGTAACACAAAAGGAAAGAAAGAAAATAAAACTCTAACCATCAAGCATAGATTCTTAAGTTAAAGTGAGAGTTTCTGTTCCAACTATTGGACATTATTAAAACAGTGTGAAAGCAAAACAGGGAATTCTAAAAGATATTCAAAATTCTGTATTTTACATGTGTTCAGTATATTACAGGAATCCAGAACACACCTCCAACTGCAAACCATGTTTATCTGGCACTACTGGGGTTTGAAGTTACAGCATGAATTTGCTGTGTAGTACTACATCACTTGAGCCAAATCTCCTGTCCTTTATTTTTCCTTTAGTTGTTTTTTCAAATAAGGTCTTTTGTTTAAATTAAGGGCTGGCCTGTCACTTCCATCTCCCAATCTATTTCTCGTCTAATTACAAAAAGTGCAACCAACTGTATCCATTTTGTTTAGATGTACTCTGTTATTTTTATTATCTTTAAGTAGTTCTCCAAAGGAGTTGCCATTTAACAAAGCAGTTTATGACTATAATGCATTTTGATCAATGTCACCCTTTTCAATATTCTCACCTATCTTTCTAACTGGACTCTTCTCTCACTCTTCTTAATTTTGTAGGATATACATTGCATTCTTGACTACATTCTCCCCTCTCCTACTTTTTATTCATCTACCCCCTCTCCCTGCCTTACCCCTTTCAAGTACCTGTTTCCTGGTGTTCATTTTATTAAACTTTGTTTTTGTTTTTTTTTCTTAGGAATTACACTATTTCAGTTTGCCCTTGAATCTACCATATTCCAATTTATATATTTGTATAGTTGTATACCACCTAATATATCTATTAATTTGTATGTTAACTGTAGCACATATGAGATACAACTTGTAGCCTTTGTCTCCCAGGGCTTCACTTACTTCACTTATGGCAATTTTTTCCAAGTGTTTCTATTTTTATCCAAGCGGGCTTGAAGTATAAATCTCGATCTCTTCCTGAAGTAGTTGAATTACATTAGTGCACCACACAAATCAAGTTCAATTTTTTGTTGTTGTTGTTGTTGATCGTGGGACTTGAACTCTGGGCTTGGGTGCTGTCCTTGCGCTCTTCAGGTCAAGCCACAGTGCCACTTCCGGTTTTCCAGTGGTTTATTGGACATAGAGTCTCACAGACTTTCCTGCTCGGGCTGGCTTTGAACCGCGATCCTCAGATCTCAGCCTCCTGAGTAGCTAGGATTACAGGTGTAAGCCACCGGCCCTTGGCTCAAGTTCAATTTTTTTTTGTCCAGTCATGGACTTGAACTCTGGGCCTGGGTGCTGTCCCTCAGCTCTTCAGCTCAAGGCTGGCGCTCTACCACTTGAGCCACAGTGCCACTTCCGGCTTTTTTCTTTTTGCTTATGTGGTGCTGAGGAATCGAACCCAGGGCCTCAGGCATGCAAGGCAAGCGCTCTACCACTGAGCCACCTTCCCAGCCCCTCAAGTTCAATTTTTTAAATACAATATACCAACAAAATTTGTGTAAGTGATTTGAAAAAATAAGCATTGTACAGGGAATCATGTTTATATTCCCAACTACTTGGGAGGCATACATGAGAAGAAACTTGGTTCCAAATCAGCAGGGTCAAAACAGCAAGACCCCATCTAAATCAATAAGCTGTGTGGCACTAATACTAGCTACCTAAGAAGCATAGACAGGCCAGGTGCCAGTGGCTCATGCTTATAATCCTAGCTACTCAGGAGGCTGAGATCTGAGGAACATGGTTCAAAGCCAGTCCAGGCAAGTAAGTATGTGAGATTCTTATCGCCAATGAACCACTAGAAAATTGGAAGTGAAGCTATGGCTCAAAGTGGTAGAGTGCTATCTTCGAATGAAAAAGCTCAGGACAGCGTGTAGGCTCTGAGTTGAAGACCCACAACCGACCAAAAAAAAAAAAGGCATAGATAGGAGGATTTCAGTCACTAGCTGGACACAACAAAAATGAAAAACCCAGCCTAAGATATTGTAATAACCAGTGGGGCCCCACAGCATGGCCTTCTGGAGGGGCGAAGTGTCCAGTGGCTGATGTCACTGCCCTGCTGGCTGGCTGCTGGAGATAAAACTAAAGCAAAAAAATAAGAGGGCACGTTTTGGGAATGTCTTCATTGATAGGGCACCTCACTACCAATCTCCAGGCCCTTTATTCAACATACTCCCCTCAATGTGAAAAACTGGAGAAAAAAACATATGTTTTCTGTGTCCAGTACCATTGAATAAATGCTGGATAGAGCAACCAGGGAAGAGATATGTGGAGGTAAGGCCAACCAAGCCAGGAAAAATCCCTATTCCAGGACTAACATATAGTCCTAGGTCACAACTGAGCCCTTCCTCCAAAGCTGCAGGACTGCACTCACCTGAAACTTTTCTCTAGGAATCAGACATATACTAAAAACTCTGTCCCTGCTGTGAGTGTCTCTGGGAGACACTTACATGGACCTCCCAATGCAGCCGCTTTCTCGAAATTGGTATCCCAGCCCACTATCACCAAGGGGACATGGCCAAGGATTTGCCCTCACTAGGGCAGGGAAAGTGAGGTCACAATTGAAGACCTAGTCCCGTGCTAAGATGGAACTATGCGCCCCAATGCCCAAGAGGCAGCTGGATCTGAACCATAAGGAAGAGGGCCACTGCCAGGGTACACACAGAAATCTGGGTATCGAGCTCCTCACCAAAAGCTCCTATAGAAGATGCCAACCCAGAAACCAGGACGTCTCGCCTTAAAGACCCTCACGAGACTAAACACAGCCAGCCGACCACAGTCCCACAACTCCCACTGCACAAACAATAGGGCCTATGAGAAAGTCTGCCCCCTTCAGGGTATGGGCAAAACACTGAGTGCCACAACAGTTCCAAGAAAAGAAGACTCCCATCTTGTTTAGTAATATATGACAGGTACACAAGGGCTTGGTAAAGGCAAATTTTGCCTGCTTATACTTCCCCAGGGCTGAAATACTGACAAAGTTTGGAGCCCCTGAGCACCTCAAACCCACGGGTTAGTTACACACCTCACTTCCAAAACGGTCTGTAACCGCAAGAGTCAGGTCCAAAATGGCGGGCATGACTCAGGTCCAAAATGGTGGGAAGCAGCGTGCCTTGGGTCCAGGAGGACTTTCTAGGCCCACCTGCAGGGTGCAGACAAGACTGCACGTGTGTGCCCTCTGTGGCCTGGGGTGGAAGTGCAGGTCAGGTTTTTCTCCCACAGGTCTTTCCTATATTGTCCGAGGATAGAGGGAGGGATCATGGGACGTAGGCACTGGCCAGCAGTACCGGTTTGGTCCCAGCCAGCCTGATGAAGCTGAAGGTTTTTACACATCCAGAGCCTGATGTGCAGGAGGCTGATGACCAGCACAACTGCTGCTCTGCCAGCCCACAGAAACCTAGGAAGCCTGACTCACGCTATTCACTATGCCTGGCACCCTACCCACCAGTTTTCTGTTTCAACAAGCACAGTCAGACAACACTAGCATGAAGTCAAGAGGTAGGGAAACCCCTCCATGGCATCCATAGCTTGGAAAGGGGGGGCACTTTTAAAAGAACCAAAGCTCCCCCCCTTTTTTCCCTCAGTGAGACAAAGGCGTAAATTGAAACTGACAAATACAACTTGCACTCTGTGTTAGTATTCTCCCCACCTCTGGTCCTCAGCTCCACCCACACCTGAGCTCCTCCCAGCCCTGGAGTTCCTGCCCTACAGCTGGCCCCTCCCTCTCTCCGCCTGGGCACTACTTACCTCACTTCATCCCACCCAGACCTGCCCACCATTGGGATAGGGCAGATGCTATGTGCTTTCCTGCGGAGATATGGCACCTCTAATGAACCTTACAATAATCTTTCTCCTGTGCTTACCTGCCTCTGCATGGTCCCCTGCGATGGTGGCAAAGGATTCCGACATACTTTATTACCCAAAAAGTGCAATGATGTTCCTAATAAATGGCAAAACCATCATGTCATAGAATTTAGCAACTATTTCCAGGGAAAACTTTCACAGCATTTCTTAGGAAATTCTCTGAAACAAACCCACAGTTGTCATTATTCCTAAGGGAGACAGGTTTGCTACAGTTCCTGTAAATCAAACAAGGTTCCTGGGATGGCCATTTCAACTAAGCCTACACTGTAGGGTATCCTGACTGACAGGTGTTGGTAATGACAGAGCTATTTGTGGCCAGATGTTCCACGACACTTCTGGACCAACATCAATATTATAGGTGTGAGCCACTGGCATCCAATAACAGCAGCTTTATAAAGCCTTAGAAACTACACTTCACAATTACACAAGGCCAATTTTCTGTAATAGTTGCAGCAATGATAACATTTCTTTATTTGGCAGTCATGAGACTTGAATTCTGGGCCGGCGCACTGTCCCTCAGCTTTTCAGCTCAAAGCAAGTGCTCTACCAATTGAACCACAGAGCCACTTCTGGTTTTCTGATGATTTCTTGGAGATAAGAGTCTCACAGAATTTCTTGCCTGGGCTGTCTTTGAACCAGGATCCTCAGATCTCAGCCTCCTGAGTAGCTAGAATTATAGGTGTGAGCCACCAGCTCCGGTCAATGCATCTTTTACTATCCCTACTGAGTTGCTATAGGAAAGAAGATGACTAAACATTGTTAAGCCCAATATTGTTACTTGTCTGTAAAGTTTGTTAACTTTACATTTTGGAGTTCTTTTAAAATTTCTTTTTGTTCAAATCAATATTATTGAACACTAAATAAATACTAATGATTATTACTCATGCTTAATGACTCCATGAAGATGTTATTACTAGGCTGGAGGTGTGGATCTAGTGAAAGCATACATGCTTACCAATCACAGGACCATGAGTTCAAATCCAAGTATTACCACAAAAGAGATATTATATCTCATGTTTTCTATATGTAGAATTTTAGTAAGGCACTACTAGACCATGCCTGTAATCCTAGCTACTCATTTCCTGCTGGTACTGAGTACATCGTTTAGACAGAGGTGAAAGATTATGGCTTTCAGATCTTGGACTCCTGAGTAGGTAGGTAGGATTATAGTGTGAGCCACAGGCACCTGGTTATGCTATATATACTTAAAGGGACTTTAGCATTTTTGTGAAGGACTAACACCCACAGTCCTTTCCACTAACATCACACAGTCCTATGAATACTGTTTAGCTCCTTATTTTAATATCATTTTTTTCTGAAAGGAATGACAAATCACAAGACACACAACTAGAGATTTCTCTATCATAAATCAACTTATAAAAATCAATAAAATTATTTATTTCATATATGTGAAGTCAAAATCTCTTCGAATGCTTACATTTTTACAAATTAATATAAACATAACAACACTGCTCTATATAAATTTTCATATAAACATTAAAGGAAATATACATATTTTAAGTGCTTCCAAAGCACAGAATGCATAAGTCCACCTGAACATTCCCTGTTGTCATAGGCAAGAACAAATGTCAGAGGTTAAAATAGCCTCAGGTGCACTTTGTAATATCTCTAGACAAAATGAAGAGAATTGGAGGTAGAGTCTCCCTGCCCATTCCCAGAGAGAAATAAGTTACCTAAATAGCAGCTTTTTATTTTTTGATTCAAACTATCCTGAATATTGCATGGTTTAAAAGGCACAATAAGGAATCATTGAAAATTTTGTTCAGCACATGAGATTTCAACTTTGATTCTATATGTTCACTCTAGAGGACATAAAACCAAGTAGGCTCCACTTACAGGTAGCCCTAGTCACTTTGAAAATGCCCAGAATGGTGAAGTTTGAATATGTGAACCCTTATTACTTACAGTAGGGGCAGCAACGTTTTATGGATTTAGCCTACTGAATTAATTAACATCACTTTCCTCAATTAGAAAAAGAAATGACAAAACCAAAAATTAATGCTTAACAATTCTTAAGGCAGAGCCCAACTTTTACTACTGGATAGCCATATATAACAAGAAGCTCTAATGCTTTCTCCTGGTTTCTGGAAGGCCATTCCCATTCGCTTGATGAACGTATTTCAGAGGCTCCGAAACATCCTTTTTCATCCTACAGTACAGAACAGTTGTCATTTTTCTCACTGGTCTTTACATTCACACAATCATCTTCTGCTGATGTGATTCACATTGCTGATAAAGTTATAGGAATCTATTTTTTCCAATACCTTCTCAAGGTACTGAATTAAGACTCGTTTTTTAAATCTGAAAATAAAGAGAAAGTTTATTAACCAAAAGATACTTAGAGCACTTAAAAGGTAAAAGAAAGTGGGCAGGATATGAAAGCAGAGCATACTATCTAAATGGATCTAGAAGTTTGTCCTCCTGGGTAGAAATGGTTTAGTAAATACTATGAGTGTAAGTGAGGTCCATTAGTCTAGGATTGATATTATCTGAATTCAACTCATCTATTCTTTCAATCTAAAGCCCTCTAGAAACAGCCTTAACTATGAGCAAGGACCACAGCTCGAGAAAATGAAGGCATAGTCTATCCTTCTTTCTCTGGTGTTGGGTCCTACTGCTGAAACAAAATAAAACAAATCTTGGGGAACACCCACCTTGAAGCTTCCTTGATTGCAAATTCAACAAACTGTCTCTTCATCTCCAGAGGTCCTTGTACTTGTTCAAGCAAAGTGAAAATTCTTTCATACTCTGAAGACATTTTTAAATAATAAGTTAGTGTTCTTTCAAACTACAAATATTGGAATAATTTCTTGTAGCAACAAAAGAATATTGAAGCACAAAGGAAGGGAAATATAATTTTATCACATTAACTAAAGGCAAAGGACCTGCTTTCAACTATAAAAATAAAAATACTGCTAAAAATACACAAGTGACAGATTTAAATCTATTCGGAATCATAGAATGAGAGTGACTTCCCATTATATTATTGGGAGGCGGGTCTTTACTACTTACTTCGTCCAAACTTTCGAACTTCCTTCATTAATTGATGTCTGATATCAGCGTTGATTCCTTGTGCCATTGCAGGAGTGATCTGCAATGAATTTGACATAGTTTCCAAAGTAGATGCTATTGTGGGCTTTCGGTCATCTACAATGAGATTGCCATTCTTGGTTCCTTCTACAAGTACATTATTGCTAGGTTTGTGAATTAGCTCATTTTTCCCAAGACCAATCAAATCATCAGACAGAGAATCCAAATGATTCGATAAAATACCATCTTCTGCCACATTCTTAAGTTCTAGTGGAATAGACTTTGACAAGCCATCCAATGGACTTTGCCCATTTTCCATCTTCTCCTCACATACATCAGGAATAACACTGGCATCTGAAAAGCAAAGTAAAAGGCAGCTGTGAGGCAGGTGCATTATGTCAACCCACAGGTACATACGGTGCTCCTCAAGTCTTGAGGAAATTACTTATTTCATAATACAGAAAAATGAACCAGGCAGAGATGAGACTTCTCAAACTAAAATAGGAAGATAACACAAGACCACCTTCTTCCCTCTTGTCACTTATTAAAACATAAAGAAATCACGATGACAGCACAACTGAGAAACATTTACACAGTTTCCAAAGTAGATGCTATTGTGGCTTTTTGGTCATCTACAATGAGATTGCCATTCTTAGTTCCTTCTACAAGTACATTATAACTAGGTTTGTGAATTAGCTCATCTTTCCCACAGTACACTCGTGGTTTACTGTCACCTTGCTTTGCTTAGCAAGTTTCACTTGATGTCATGATTTCTTATAGTCACATACAAACTACCATGTTTTACTGAGCTTGAAGCCAGATAGATTTTTGTATATGACATTCAATTTCTTGTCTCCACCAAGTATTCTGAGAAAACACAGGAACCCAATGGGATGGAAACCTCTGTAATTTCCACATCATCACCATATATTGCTATGTATGATACCAAGTAGAGCACTTTTCACTCCAAGTCTGACACTTCTACATTATTTACTCATGCTTGCTATGCCAGCACAAGGCCGGAAGCTGGCAATTGGCAGTGAGCAAGACAGACAGGAACCACTACTGCAGCTTACATAGTCATGTGTGGGAGATCACACTGGAAGTGCAGAATGGGCAGCAGCACACTCACAACTAGACTTGTATTGGTGAAGAGGCAGGTATGTAAGAAGGAGCAGTAGAATGTCCAATTTTCCAGGTGGTGGTAAGCCCTTCTAGGAGGAATTCGCTCAATCAGAATCTAAGGAGGCGACAGAACTGGCTTGAGTGCACGCAAAGGGAGAGTGCCAGGATGTGGTGGGATCAAGACAGCAACCACAGTGGAAAGAATCAGGGACTACACAATGAAGGTCAGAGGCAAAGGAGGTTTCCAGGGTTTACTGTAAAGACCATGATGTGTGACTAGAAGGTACCTAACTGGTGGACAACCATGGGGATGCAGGTGGTGCTCTGAGTGCTTAGGAACATGAAGGATGGTTTTTAGCAGGTCAAGGACATGGCATGATCTCATTTTCCTACTGACCTCATCATTGCTCACAGAGCAAAAATTGAGTTAGGAGCAAGAAGTGATCAGAAAAGAAGCTCTCATGGTTTGTACATGAGAGATCATGGCAACACGGTGTGAAAGGATGGAGAGAACGAGTGAAATACAGGGATTATACTAAATGTTAAGTTTAAATGGATGTAATTAAGAAAAGAATAAAAGAAAAATCATACCTACTCTTGGGATTGGTCAACTGTGCAGGAACTAGTATACTTCTAGTATGGGTGTGCAGAAAGTACTACACTACTAGTGTGGGAATGCAAGAACTAGTACACTACTTGCTCTGAAGAGTGGATTTGCCCAATTCTCACTATGATTCAGGTATCTCAGATAGCTTGGTGTCAGTAATATTAGTATTATTTACACTATGGGAATCTGCAAACATTGTATCTGGAGTTCTATATTACCTACCCACCCACTGCCATAGCTTTCCCAGTACATCACTGGATGATGTTATTAATGGCCTGCAGAAAGATGTGGGCAGAGTTGTTTTGGGGAGGTGTAAGGATGGGAATTTTGTTGGAGCACATGAAACCTATTGAGGTTTATAAGTGAATTAGATACTTAAGTGGAAATGCTATTCAGTCTAGAGGTGGGAGTTGTTGAAACCAATCAAATTTAAAACCTACATGGGATGACTTAGGGAGATGGTACAGGGAGGACTGGATGTCCTGATGTTGAACTTTGGACACCTACAATATCTAAATGTGAGAAAGAAAAGGGAGAAAACATGGGCTGGGAAGGTGGCTCAGTGATAGAGTTCTTGGCTTGCATGCATGAGGCCCTGGGTTGGATTCCTCAGCACCACATAAGCAGAAAAAGTCAGAAGTGGTGCTGTGGCTCAAGTGGTAGAGCGCTAGCCTTGAGTTGAAGAGCTGAGGGACAGTGCCCAGGCCCAGAGTTCAGGCCCACAACTGACAAAAACAAAAAATAAAACAAACAAAAAGAAAAGGGAGAAAACACGAAGGAGTCATTATTAAAGGGAAAAAGGAACTACATATATAAGGACCAGAGGTTTCTACAGAGGAAGGAACAAACAAGTGTGCCAAGTGCTGTTGAGAAGGAATATCCATGTGCAGCAAACATTGATGATATTAAGAATGGTTTGGGTGGGAATAAGAAAACAGACATCAGCCTAGACTGTGTTAGAGCATGAATAGGAGGCACAGTGAATAAGAATTGATCCAGCCTTTTAGTTAGCCCACCTAGTTTTATCACCTCAGAATCCTGCTTTATCCCTGGGTGCCAATGGCTCATGTCTATAATCCTAGCTACTCAGAAGGCTGAGATCTAAGGATTGCAGTTCAAAGCCAGCCTGGGCAGAAAAGTCTAGGAGACTCTTATCTTCAATAAACCACCAGAAAACCAGAAGTGGTGCTGTGGCTCAAGTGGTAAAGTGTTGACCTTGAGCTGAACACTTGCCTTCAGCTGAAATGCTCAGGGACAGCACCCAGGCCCAGAGTTCAAGCCCCATAGCCGACAAAAGAAAAAAAAAGAATCCTACTTTATCTTCCTAACTCTCCAACTCCAAATGATTGCAACCAACACACTCACAAGTCTTCATTGTGTTATTATATCAGGTACTATTACTAATTACTATGTGATTACAGTGTGCTTACTATGTAATGTTGATACTTTTTCCCCTTCATATAAACTGAGTTTTTTTCCACTTTTTTTGTTTTGGTTGGTTGTGGGGCTTGAATTCTGGGCCTGGGCGCTGTCTCTGAGCATTTTAGCTGAAGGCAAGTGTTCTACTACTTGAGCCACTTCTGGTTTTCTGGTGGTTAATTGGAGATGAGTCTCATGGACTTTCTAGCCAAGGCTAGCTTTGAGCCACGATCCTTAGATCTCAGCCTTTTGAGTAGCTTGGATTACAGGCGTGAGCCACCAGTGCCTGGCTCTTTCAAATATTTTTGTCAATCTTGGGGCTTGAATTCAGGGCCTGGGTGCTTTTCCTGAGCTTCTTTGTGCTAAAGGCTAGTGCTCTGCCACTTGAGCCACAGCACCACTTCCAGCCTTTTGTGAATAGTTTACTGGAGATAAATGTCTCACATACTTTCCTGCGGGGCTGGCTTCAAACCATGATCCTCAGATCTCATCTTCCTGAGTAGCTAGGATTATAGGCTTGAGCCATTAGTGACTGGCTTAAACTGAGATTCTTGAAGCACAGTCTGTTCCTGATGGAGCCTGTTGTATTAACCACCTACACAGTTTCATAACATTCTACTTAATGAACAGAAACTGAAGACAAAAAAAATACAAAGAAGAATAAAACTGGTATCTTAGTCTTCTAGGAACGATAAGGGTATTTCAACTACTACTCTATACCTGGATATATAACAGTGGGTTTTTTGAAGTTTGTATAAGATGAGAAACACGAGGCTGAGAGTGGTCCCTTTCCGTCATCATGGTTAGTTACAATAGGTGGTGCATGTGGTCTCCACAGCAGGGACATATTCCTCCTTCTCTTGGGTGACACAAGATTGCTGAATTCTCCAGGCCGTTTCACTTTGTTTTGTGGCCCTGCTACAAACTCATCTGCTTCATCAACCATCATTCCCTAAAAAAATCAATTAACATATTCCAGTAAACACAAATTCAATTATCAAAAAATGATACTCTTCACACGAACCAATAACCATACATTATATCACTAAGATATGTTCTAATCATTAGCCAATGCTCAACAATCCGAAAATGCAACTTAATTTTAATCCAGTCTGAAGGAAGAAGAAGGAAGTTAGCAAGGAGGAAGTTTGACCTGTCAAAAGCCAATTGTACTAATAATGGTTAATCAGAAAGTCCAAGGAATGAGAAGCTCTAATCAGCCCAAATGGGATAAACCTACAGTCACATTTTTGGAGAAGTTTAATCTAGTTTGCATTAGCCCTTAGTAAAGGAAAGATGTTCTCCTTGTGGTGCTTTTGTGCTTTAAATTCATTATTAAGAAACATCATTATTACTGTGCAGAATACTAAATGTAGATGATGAATGGCAGGCAAATGGAAAATGTAATTCCCTTACACCTCAAATACTGATATGAATGAGGGAGTGAGAATGATTTTTATTTTGGGGAGTATATAAAAGATGGGAGCCAAGAGTAAATAAAGTTGGCTAAAAGCTGTTCTCATCTCAGGATAATCAAAGAATGCTTGATCAAAATCATGGTAAGTGACTTTTCTAAGGATTTCTTCAACATTAGCCATAGAGAAAAGGCAAAAATATTTTCATTGAGCATTTACTACATTCTCAGTAATATTCCAAGCAATGTAACAGCACTAGCTTGATAATCCACAAAGCTCTGTCAGGTATAATTATTTATTGTTACATATGAAGAAATAAAGCTCAGAAAGACAAAAAACTCAAATTATTTGAGGACTAGAGTGAGTTGGTATACTTTTGAGCTCTTTTGTTATGAAGAAGATATTGCATGGCTTATGACTTTTCATGCTTAAATGGTGGTCAGAATAAAACACACACACACATACAAACACATATATCATATTTAGATCTCTGGTTGGATAATTGAAAAAAGTGAGATTAACTTGTACTTCACATTTTAAGAGGCACATCATCACTATCTTAACAGCACTACCGACCTGACTAATGGAAACAGGAAATAACTGGTGATCTACATATTAAAGGAATTAGTGTATAGTGGTGGGAATGCATATAGATTGTAGAACCAGGAAGATGTGGGTTCAGGTCTTGGCTCTATCAGTTATGTCAAAGTGTTTCAACATTTGACCACTTTAAGCCTTGCAGAAACTATTGTAAATAAAAAATATAATCACTGAAAATACAATCTCCGTCAGACACAGTGTTTCATGCCTATAATCCAAGGTACTAAGGAAGCAGAGATTGGGAGGATTACAGTTCAAAACTAGTCCAGGAAAAATAACCAATGAGATCTAATCTCAACCAAAAGGCAAGGTCTTTCATCTGGATTAAAAATACAACAGTCAGCTGGGTACCGGTGGCTCATTCCTGCAATCCTAGTTACTGAGGAGGCTGACATCTGACGATTGTGGTACAAAGCCAGCCCAAGCAGGAAAGACTATGAGACTTTTATCTCCTATAAACTCAGAAAAATCCAGAAGTGGTGCTGTGGCTCAAGTGGTTGAGAGCTAGTCTTGAGCACCAAGAGGCTCATGGACAGTGCCTGGGCTTGGAGTTCAAGCCCCAGGATTAGCAAAACAGTGCAAGACTCTAACTGATAAATTAGAGGGCTAGGGTGTGGCTCAGGGTATAGGTCACTTGCCTTACAAGCATGAGGCCCTAAATTTAAATCCCAGTACCACATAAAACCAAACCTAAAACAAAAGAAGAAACAACACAACAACAACAACAAAAAACTCACCAAACACCAGTTCCTATCAGGCACTCAATAAATAGAAGTTATTATTTTATTCAACTAACACAGTCTTGTATCAGGAAGCTCTCATTTCCCATCCACAAAGAGACTTAGTGTTATATTTGCTTATTATTTGTATTCATCCTCACAAAAGAGAATTTATAGCAAGAACATCATCATTTAGGAAGACATAGACATAAGTATCCTACCTTCTTATCTTGTTTAAATGGATTGCCAAACGTATGTTGTCTTTTTGGTTGATCTGAATCAATCTCTCGTAGTGGAGAAGCCAACATCTTTAGATATTCTTGATAGTTACCCATTTGTGCAATTGGAACACTATGAAGGGAATCTGTAAAAATCACCAGCAAAGAAATTGATGTTGTTCAGTTTAAGTATTTGGTCCTCTTGAGAGAACATGGTCATCATCTGGCTTAGCAATGTGTATCATGGCTACAAATAGTCTAAAATTTCAAATCCAGTATTTAGAATTGAGTATCAATAAGAGCCTAGGTTCCATAGTGTTTGCCTATCATGCAGAGAGGAAACCTTTGTTAGTGGGTCTTCAACTCTGAGAATTTGATTAAGTATGTAGGATTTGTTCCTTTAAAAGACAATCTATGCATCAAGAGAACCAGCCAGGCTAAAATTGTCTAATTTTAGTGACTAGGTGATCCCATTAAAAATTAACAAAATTCAGTAAAGAGAAATTGTAGTTATAATTCTCCTGGATATTATCTGGCTTATCTAACTTCCATATAAATGAAATATTCTCTATTAATCTTCCCCAAGTAGGCTGTGTAGTATAGTGTCTGGTTGTGTAGGTTCAGAAATCTGACCTAGTTTCTGTCATTTTCCAATTGGCTGAATGTGGGCAAACTAATAAAATGCTCACTCATAGTTTCAGTGGGTATAAAGTGGATATAGAAACAGTATCCCCTGGGGCTGTTAGAGGCTTATTAGAACTGAAGTACAAGGAGATGAAATCCATGGGCCTACAATATAAAGATGTATAGAGATATAACAATGAAGTCATCTCCTCACTCCCCATCATCTCTCTATCCTCAGTATAACTAATATTAGCCAATTTTAAAAAGAACTAAAATAGAGGCTGTGGTGGCACTCCTGTAACCCTAGGAATCTGGTGTCTGACACAGGAAGATCAAGTGTAAAAGGCCTTTCTGGGTTGCACAGAGACCATAACTCCAATACAACAGACAGACTTGGGGTTGAACTCTGCAATGCAGCACCAATACATACTATATCCTTTCTTCTATATCCAACCTCCAGATCTGCTAATCAGATGACCCTCCAAATTCTAGCCACTTGGAGTGGCTAGAAAATCAGGAAATAGTGAGTCCCTTTAAGAGAACAGTGAAATTGTCTTCTGATGTTTCTGGGTTTCTTAGAAGTTTCCAGATTGCATGAAACAGATGTATGCTGAAAGCCAAATCACCTGCCTTCTGGACCTTTTGGCACAAGGTCAACTTATTTTTTTGTCCTTGCTTTGGGCCAACTTTCCCATCACTGGCACCAAAAACAGTTTAATGAGTACAGAGTATAAACTGATGTAGCTTTTGTTAGGTAACTGGTGTCCTAAAAAGTTCTCATCCAGGTTCCAGTGGCTCATGCCTATAATCCTAGCCACTGAGGAAGCTGAGATCTGAGAATTGCAATCTGAAGCCAGCCTAGGCAGCAAAAAAGTCAGAAGTGGCTCAAGAAAGGCATGGCTCAAGAAAGAAAACTTCAAGCCTCAGTACTGATAGACATAAAAAAAGTTTTCAAGTACATAACTCAGGAGTGTGAGATTTGAGGATCTTGGTTTGAAGACAGTCAGAGCAAGAAAATCTGTGATTCTTACCTCCAATTAACTACCAAAAAAGGCAAGAAATGGAGCTGTGACTCAAGTGGTGGAATGCTAACCTTGAGCGAATAAAAAAAAAATCCTCAGGAACAGCATCCAGGCCCTGAGTTCAAGCCACAGGACCAAAACAGAAAAAAAGTTTTATTTCTCAGAAATACTCTTAAAATAGAAAGATAGATAGATAGATAGATAGATAGATAGATAGATAGATAGATAGATAGATAGAGTATATACAATCAAGAAATTCATTAAAGTATTGTTTGTTAAACAACAATAACAATAGAAAAGCCAGGCACCAGTAGCTCCTTCCTGTAATCCTAGCTATTCAGGAGACTGAAAACTGAAAATCTTGGTTCAAAATCAGCTGGTTCAGGAAAGTCCATGAGACTTATCTCCAATTAAGCACCAAAAAGCTGGAAGTAGAGCTATGGCTCAAGTGGTTGAGTGCTAGTCTACAGCCAAAATGGCTCAATGACAGTGTACAGCCCCTGAGTTCAATCCCTAGGTTACACACACACACACACACACACACACACACACACACACACACAAATCCATAAAAATATATTTTTAAAATTCACTAAAGTACAACTCTCTGGTGTGTGTTGTATTTGCTGATTCATGCACAATTGCCTTAAAACTTGAGAAAAATAAGTGAGACCAAGAAGACATGGGGATCCAATGAAAACAGGCATTCTGAACATTAGAATATTATAATATAACCAACTCATTATGCAACGAGCATTTTCTTGTAAGCCATGCTTGCCATTTTCCTGGTGAAAAGTACTCCATTGCTCATTTACCTTGATCTTGTCCAACAATAAATTTGTGTGTTTTCAGCAGATTGGATCTCATTCTGGTTAACTGGTCTAAGAGACTTCTACGTGGAATATCATATGCATTTCTGTATGTCTGAGGTTTCAAATCCTATTTGAAATGAAATAAACCATTTCAATTACTCTCAAGACTTCTTAAAATCTTATTGAAGTGAGTGATGTTTTTCTTTCCTTTCTTTACTTTGGAGTTTTTATTTTCATAAATGTATATAATGTATTTTGATCAAAAGAGCAATACTTAATACAACTATCAACAGCAGAATTTTCCAAAAGTGAAATTTCTATTCATTGCTCTGAATTCTAACACACATCCACAAGTTGTTAAAGGCACTGGGGACAGTTTTTCTAGAAGGATATTTGCAACTTGGAATCCCGAGATTTATACGTGTGGTGGTCTTGCACTGCTTGTCACCTAGATTTAGTCTTCTGGCAGCCATGGAGGTGGGCTGCTGAGATGGATCTACAGGAGAGCGATGGTGACCCTTCACCGAGCACAGCTGGCTGAGAGTCTGATCAGTGCCATAGGGATGTCCTGTAGCCCTAACCTGGGACCCATCCTCCCAGGCTGCCTGTGCCTGGACTGAGACGAGCAGGTGGTAGGCCCCAGCCGGCATTGCCTACGTGGATCTATCTCCTCCAGGAGGAAGGTTGGTGCGAGAGGTGCCCGTGGGCCTGGCCTCAACTTGCTCCAAGCTGCGCCAATGGCTGAGCCTCTGCAGCTCTGGCCTTCCTCCTCTCACATGCGCTAGGGGAACACTGCAGCCTGGAGGTCCTCCCTCACCACGCAGCTCCCCCTCCCCTTTGCCGTTCATGAATGTCATCCCCAACCATATCTTGTACATTTAGTTGTATGTTGTCATGCTGGCAGGAAAATTCCAAAATGGCTCCTTTAATACCTTTAACTCCAAAATAAGCTTATCATTATTTCAAAATTGAAGAATGTAAGTAATACAAATGCATCAGATAAGTTCAAACAAATACAGCCCCTTTATGATATAATTTACCTTGTTTAAGAGCCCTACTTGGAAACCGGCCAATTCTTTGGGATTCAATTCTGTCAGTTTCAGTACAGTTTCCCCTGTGATTTCTTTCAATAGTTTTCTAAAATTTTTACTTTGAGCCAAAGGAACACCAACTCCAGATTGATTTTTCACTTTGATACCAATTTCCTGGGGAGGTTTCTTCCCCATTGATGCTAGAATTCGTTCTGACTCTAGTTTGGTCTAAAATGAAAGTATACAGTATGTTATGAGAGTATCTTGTCACATCGTTGTCATTTTATTTTTTAATAAAAATAATACTTTTAGAACAATTTTCACTTGTTAATCATAGAAATACATATTATGCATTTTCCTAGAATTCTCTGTACTACCACAGCAAACACAAAAGGGGCTGAAAAGACAAGTAGATTTTACACAAATTTCTCTTGTCCAGTGTTAAAACTGTGATTGGTACATGAAGAGAATGGAAAATGTAGATAAGAATTTCATTCATAGATATTTAAAAGCACATTTTGTTACTGTAAAATCTACCTTAAATCAACATATTCATTTTGGACCCAGACATACAGGTTATTTTGTATGTATACATGCAAAGTAGTGTTAAAATTCAGACTGACATTCCATCTGAAATATTAAACTGTTGATTTTGACTATTGGACTATATAAATTCATAAAAATAAAGCTTAATTTTATGACTACTACCATGTAAATATTTTGTAAGTTTCTCACTAACTTCAAAAAATCCTCTTAATAGACATTTTTATAACATTAATTAACTTTGTAGCAGGGTAGTTGGCAAATTTTGTATCTTAGAAACATCTGAGATAGTTCAAGGAATTACTACTGACATGGCTATCAAATTAGTTAATAAATTAATCATTAGAGAAATTATGTTTGCAATGATTCTTGGCTGGAATTCCACCAGTATCCATTTAGCCCCAAATAATTTTTGATTTCTTATGGTTTGGTTAGACATATTTATTTCCTCTAATTATTGGAATTATATATAGACTTGTGTGTGTGTGTGTGTATGCTCTAAACAATTCTTAAGCCATGAGATACAACACAAGAGCAAACAAGGGGTTTGTTTCTTTAAACAACCTTGAAAGCTCATTTATTAAAAAACATACAAGTTATGTGCCCCTGAAGATCTCAGAACTTGCATTTTGTTACAACTCTCCTCATTTTTCTTCCTGTTGCCATACCCTGCTGACACAGCCTTAAAGGCCTAAGGTAAATATCAAAGAAAAATAATAAATCAATAGACAAATAAATAATCAAATCAAAGCTTTTACAAAAATAAAACCCTACAAGTAGAGAAAAATAGGGATTAGTGAGATGCTTGGTCCATCTGAAATCTGGGTTTGACTTTACTTTTTTCCCATATATACGCATACCAGGTGAATGAGAGCTAGTAAGCTCTAGACCTTATTTAAGATTTCACCCAGCAATGTATATCAGTGTCCCAACTGTGGAGCCCTTTAGGTCCTTTAGCAATACCTAACACTTTTACTACTCTTGGTTTCCTAAAGGCCAAATTTCTAAGCATAGCCAACTTGAAATACCATGGTCACTGATTTTATGCGACTGTTGTTCCCTATCTATGAATACATTTGTGTATAAAAGAATAAAGTTGGTGCATTAATTTGTCACACAATACAATTGTATGGTAGTAGTTTCCCAAACATTTGCATCCTACAAGAATGGGCTCGGTAGAGGTGAAAAGTATGATATGGATGGGTGGGTGGAGGATGAGGTACTAATAGAGAGGGGCAGGCAAGGGACAAGGTGAATAATGGTGAATGAGGTGGGGTATAAAGGTACAGATGAGGGCAAGAAGAGAGGAGGCCGAACCTCACTCTCCAGGTCCCTTTGGGGCTTATTACCCTCCAAGTTGAGGAAACACTGGTCGCAACACCTCCCACCCCCCAGGGAAAAGCAAATATCTATTTACCCAAGGGCTAGCATATGAATGTAGGTCTTTCACTGGTACTTGAAAATAAATTTCACACAAGCCCTTTAATCATACCAGGCTAGTAGGTCAGTTTGCTGACCTACAAAAGGGATTTAAAGAGAAACTAGGTTGAGGACAGACAAAAATGTGACCCATGAGAGAATTCTATTAAGCCTCTGCCCCTTTTAGGCCACAAATATCAGCCAGTTGTGGGCAGGGCAAACTGCAGGCAGAAGGAGAGATGACACAGTATCAAATGATACTGACAGACCCTCAACTGCAGTTTAATGGTGAAGCTAGAAGTCATAGAGAATCACATTATTACTAATCCATAAAGTGTAGAGATATATACACATTGAATTTGAAAAATTACAATTACACTAAAGAATAAGGAAATGCACTTCTGAGGGCAAAGGAGTTTTGTTTGTTTGTTTTTACCAATACTACCTGTTGGCTGAGTTTTTTAAGGTAAGAGATAACACTGTAACTAAGTCCACAATCTAAATTATCTGATATCAGATTTGGAGCTCCCATCATCCTTAGTGCTTTCTTTAATGGCTATAAGGAAACAAAATACACAACAGTAAGAATAGAATAAATCTTAAAATACTCAAAGTTCAGTTATAAGGGGCAAAGGGACATGATTCATTTCTTAGAAGTCAAGGTGCTGCACATAAAACCAAACATGGAACATTAAAAAGTGGCAATGAAAATAGTAGAGAAGTAGCAGAACATAAAAAAAAAATCAGAAGACAGTGGAAAAGAAAAGCATGTAACAGCAAATTCAAACAAGTAAATTGCTTTCAGTCTTAATCCCCAATTGACAAAATTATTTCAAATTGTGTTTTGTTGTGTATCCCATTCCTGCCATGATAAAATACCAACACACCCCAATTTCTCCTCTAGTAACACCATTGAGCCCATGGAAGATTCTGCCTTTTGCTTTGTGAAACTTGGCATTTAATTACAACCTCAATCTTTGAAAGGACTGATAATCTTGACTCAGGCTTTATTATCAATTCACAAGTATCATAAATACTTTTCTCAAACTATTAAAAGTAAAATGAGTCCAAGTAACATTTTAGTCTTTTTGGATTTCCCCCAGTTCCAATGCTTCCATTTCATGATGTATTTAGAACAGATTTAACAGGTACTTAAGAATTACCATATCATTAGAATTTTGTTTACTGAGGAAAATCTATTGACAATGTCTAGAGTTAAAAAGGGAGGTGGATGTAACACACAAATTGAGACCTATTTATTCTCAAATTCTCAACTTACAATTTCATAAGATTAATTTTAATAAGCAAATCATGATGAGTTTTATAAGAATAACTATGGCAGTTAAAAAAAGAAAATTGAGAAAACGGCTTTTGTGTTGTCATATCTATAAACTCTTATACATGGCTTGAGAAGACAGTGACAACACAAATATCTGTAAAATGAAAATATAGCTATCCTGTTGCAAGAGAAAAGCTTTTGATTCATTTTTTATAACAAGAATAATCATTGGCACAGTACATATATACACATAAATACATACTAATAAGTAGTATGGAGGCACGGTTTTTAAGTAGTTGTCAAAAGCCTGTCGCCACTTCAGATTTGGCTTAAGTTTGTGAACTTTAAACAATTCATCTGTAACAGAAAATCAAATAAACCATTACATTATTCTAGCTCTAAATTCCAAGATCTAAATCAAACTACTCACATCTATAAATCTCAGGCTTTATTTACATTACATCAACATTTTGTTGTTTATTTGTCTTTCTTGGTAGCAGTAAATAACCAAAATTACATTCAGGTGCTCTTTGGCTCACAACAGTTCAGCTTATTACTTTTCTGCTTTCTCATAGAAAGTGATGTACATTCAGTCAAAAACAAACTTTAAATTCTGAAATGCCTCCTTTTCCCAATCTAGTGATACATAGCAGTGTACTTTCTCCTACGGCTAGGTGGCAGTAGTGAGGTGCACGCCCAGATAACCCTGCAAGCTATGAAGCTAGCTGTGAAAGGGTGCAGTTTTTTTGTTTTTTTACTTATATTAGGTTTATCAGACTTAACGTGATGTCATCTGTGTTGCACCTTTCTACAAAATCAAATAAAATTTTGAGTTACATATTCTTCCATCTGCAAAGCTACATAAAACCCAACAATAAAATAAAATGCTGATTGTGATCTACTTGAAATATTTTCCTGATCTATGACACATTAGCAATGACACTGTAGTACTTTTCATCAGAAGAGACACCAATAGTCACTGATACTGCAACATTTCTTACATTTAAATCTAGGGACAGTTATCATTTCTGCTGAAAGGTTAGGGCAAAGGGACATTATAAAGTGTATGAATTTTTTTTAAAAAAAGCTAAGTCTCTAATTTCTAGGCAATGAAGGGCATGCTCTAATTACATTTGGATTCTCCTTAATTTGCTCATACTTTGTTTAGCCAAAATTCCTGCCTATTTCATTTCTTTGATTTTGTGTTTGAGCAATTTGAGCTAGATTTTGCATAACTCAAACATAAGTTATTAGGTATTGGGTAACAGTAAAAGCATGTAGAGATGGTAGGCTGAAGTTTAAAATTCTGTATAGATAAACATGTTTCTTCAAATACCAGGTTTCATCAATATACTTGAAGATATTTAGCTTAAATAGGAAGGCCATTTTCTATCTTTTTGCATTTAAAATTTAATTAATTTAGCAATCTAAATACATTAAATAGGAAGTGGAGCTGTGGCTCAGGGGTAGAGCAGTAGCCATGAGTGAAAATGCTCAAGGACAGTGCCCAAACCCCGAGTTCAAGCCCCACATCTGTTCCAGAAACATTTTTAGTTATATAAATACATTAACTTTCCTGCATGAAAATTTTCCAAAGAACTCATTTGGTTCATCTTATGCTCTTCCAAGTGTAAGAAAATATTTATAATTCAAAATTGTTATCCCCAGCCATCATCAGAGTTCTGCCATAATACTATAAATACCAAAGACAGTATAAATTCACCCTCTGTTTCTTTTCTTTTCTTTCTTTTTTTGTTGGTCGTGGGGCTTGAACTCTGGGCCTGAGCCCTGTCCCTCAGCTCTTCAGCTCAAGGCTAGCCTCTACCACTTGAGCTACAGCGCCACTTCCGGTTTTCTGGTGGTTTATTGGACTTTCCTGCCAGGGCTGGCTTTGAACCATGATCCTCAGATCTCAGCCTCCTAAGAAGCTAGGATTACAGGCATGAGCCACTGGCACCGGGCAACCCTCGGTTTCTTAAAGTTTTACAAATTAATATTTACTTCCAGAGATGAAGCCATATATAAGTTCTCTATAAATAGTGCTATTCTTTGATTTTGAATTAGTTAAGCAAAGCAACGACGTATTTTCCTTCTTTTACTTCAATAATAAATTATTCCGTCTATTGGAATACAATTAGATGAATTACAGAGTCATAGAATGTAAGTTCTTGGTTCTTTAGATTTTTTTTTCTTCTAAGGATGAAAACAAAAGAGATGTGAAGAGATCTTCAGTTCATTGCAGCATACAGATCCTTTATAGACCATTTGAATCTTGAGAAGAAATGAGATTCTGGGGAAGTATCATTCTACAGCTGTGCCTATGTGGATTTTTGGAAACTGTCAAATGTAAATACTGAAAACGCTTTTAGATATAAATGCATTTGTAACCAGTTAATAATACTCTTAATATTTCTATGTCAAGTGCAGTGATTTTTACTATGAACTTTCTGACTCATAATAAGAGAAACTTAACTAAAGTTGGATGCTAGAGGCTCATGCTAATAACCTTAGCTGCTCAGGATGCTGACATATGGAAGATGGTGGTTCAAAGCCAATGTAGGCACACAAATCTGAGAGACTCATCTCCAGTTAACCAGTAAAAGCTTGAAAGTGGAGACATGGTTGAAGTTGTGGTATGCAAGCTATGAGCAAAATAACAGGGCAAGAGTGCAAGGCAGTATGTCAAAAAGACATCTTCACTCCCATAATAGCCAAAACATGGAAACAAGCAGTGTCCCATCAACTGATGAATGGATAGAGAAACTAAAGTGTATGATGTTAAGTAAAATAAGCCAGAGGCACAGTAAGCCAAGCACTGAATGGTCTCATTCATAAGTGAACTCTACAAAAGTTGACTTCATAGAAGTTGAGATGAAGAATGATGGTTATCAGAAACTAGGGAAGATAAAAGGGAGGGAGCAATGTGGGAAGGTTATTAAATAAGTACTAAGTTATAGACAAAGAGGATTAAGAAATTCTGGTATGCTATTACACTATACCATAACGAGAATAAATACAATGTATTATGTACTTAGAAAAATGAGCATATTTTGAATGGTTTTACTATAAATAAATAACCAATGTTCAAGGAGATGGATGTAAGTGTCCTGATTTAAACATTAGAATACATGTATATGAATGGTAATATCACAATACCCCATGTCTATGTATATATATATATATATATATATAAAGCAGCTGTATATATGTAGATGTGTATATGTGTGTAAATATATATGTGTAATTTTATGTATTAGTTTAAAACACATTAAAAGTAAAACTAAGAGCCAGGCAATAGTGGCGCATGCCTGTAATCCTAGTTACTCAGGAAGCTGAGATCTGAGGATTGCAGTTTGAAGCTAGCCTGGGCAAGAAAGTCCATGAGACTCTTATCTCCAGTTAATCAGCAGAACATGCCAGAAGTGGAGCTGTGGATGAAGTAGCAGAGCACTAGCCTTGAAAACAAAAGCTCAGGGACAGTGCTCCGACCCTGAATTCAAGCCCCAGGACCAGCATAAACAAGTAAGTAAGTAACCTTACTTAAGTAAGGTTGTCAGGCTACAGTGGCACATGCCTGTAATCCTAGTTTCTCAGGAGGCTGAGATCTGAGGATCATGGTTCAAAGCCACTCAAGGCAGGAAAGTTGGTCAGATTCATATCTGGACAGTGTTCTGGCCCTGAGTTCAAGACCTAGGACCAGCACAAAAAGACAAACAAAAATAAAAATATTATGAATAAGAAAACTGTATAGATTATATGCAAATGATATATTATTTCATATTAATAAGCATGCATAGATTTTAGTATGGGGATTGCTGGAAGCAAATCCTTGTGGGTACTGAAGGATAATTTTATTACTCTGATGCAGAGGGAAAACAATTTAAAAACCATAGACTAATATATTTCATGAAATAACATATTTAACCAAATATTACCAAATAAAGCTAACAAAGTTATCAAAGCTTTATATATCAGGATCCTGTGAGGTTTATTTCAAGGATACAAAACTCGTCTAATACCTGAGAAACTAATCTAGGTAAGCAATATATCAACAGGGTAAGAAATAAAAATCATGTGGTTATATTGACTGGTGCAGATAAAAGTATTTGATGAATTTCAACACTTATTCATGATGTTTTTAACTCTCAAAAAACATGACCTGAGGCAGGCATGGTGGCACATGCCAATAATCCTTACTTCATGGGAGGCAGAAGTTGGTATAATCATGGTTTGAGGCCAGCCAGGAAAAAAAAAACTTTATGAGACTCCATCTCAACCAATAGTTGGGCATGGTAGCACATGCCTGTCATCCCAGCTACACAGGAAACTGGCAGATACTGTGGTTCCAAGCCAGTTCTAGCAAAAAGGTTCGCAAGATCCCTATCTCAACAGAAAAGGCTAAACATGGTGGCATGTCCCTGTCATGACAGTCGGAAGTCTAAGTAGAAAGATCACAGTTTAGGCCAGACTGGGCATAAACTAACCAGAGAAAAAAGGATTAGATATGTGGCTCATGCAGTAGAGCACCTACCTAGCAAATGTGAGACCTTAAATTCAAGCCCTTGTACAGGAAAGAAACACACACACACACACACACACACACACACACAAGCTAGATAAATTACTGTGTGCCTGTGATCCCAGCTATTCTGAAAGTGTAAGTAGGATAGATGATCACAATTCAAGTCAGTTTGGTCAAAAAGGCTGAATTTTTGTTGTTGCTGCTCAGGGGCTTAAACATGGGACCTGGGTGCTGTCCCTGAGCTCTTTTGCTGAAGGCTGGTTTTGAACCATAATCCTCAGATCTCACCCTTCTGAGTAGTTAGGATGACAGACATGAGCCACTGGCACCCGATAAAGCTGAAATATTTTGAAAAGCAACATCCTGGATGACTTTCTAGAAAATTATTCTGGGCAAAAAAAGCAAGTCTTAAATGGTTACATACTGATTCTATTTATATAATAATCTTGATATGATAAAAATATAGAAATGTGTTTCTGGGTCTCTATTAAGAAAATTTCGGCCTCTAGAAAGGTTGGACAAATGGGATTGCATGAAATTGCAGAGCTTCTGCATGGCAAAGGACATAGCTAGCAAGATCAATAGAAAGCCCATGGATTGGGAGAAGACCTTCACTAGCCATACAATGGACAAGGGTCTCATATCTAAAATATACCTGGAACTCAAAAAATTAAATCTTCCAACAACAAATCCTCAAAGAAACAACTGCCCAATAAATAAGTGGGCTAAAGACTTAAAGAGAAACTTCTCTGAAGAGGAAAGGATGGCCAATAGACACATGAAGAAATGCTCAACCTCTCTAGCCATAAAAGAAATGCAAATCAAAACATCATTGAGATACCACCTCACCCCAGTTAGAATGGCTATAATCAAGAACTCTAATAACAACAAATGCTGGAGGGGATGTGGACAGAAGGGAACCTTACTGCATTGTTGGTGGGAGTGTAAACTTGTTCAACCACTTTGGAAAGTAGTATGGAGCTTCTTCAAAAGACTCCACATACAGCCTAGGTAGTAACATTTGTGAGACCCTTATCTTCAATGAACTACCAGAAAACTAGAAGTGGCAGTGTAGCTAAAAGTGGTAGAGTACTAGCTTTGAGCCAAAGAGTTCAGGCACAATGCCCAGGCCTTGAGTTCAAGCCCCACCACCCACCAAAAAAGAGGAGGAAGAAGGAAGAAGAAGAAGGGCTCAGCATAAACTTAGGAAAATGGCACACAATTACAGAAGCAATCTCACTTTGGAGTATTTACCCAAATGTTCCACAACCAAGACTACACTAAAGCTACCAGCACAACTATGTTTATTGTAGCATTATATAACATAGCTAAGATATGGAACCAACCCAGATGCCCCCTCAGTAGATGAATGGATCAAGAAAATGTGGTATATATAAACAATGGAATTCTATGCCTCTATCAGAAAGAATGACATTGCCCATTTGTTAGGAAATGGAAAGGCTGGAAAAAATTATATTAAGTGAAGTAAGCCAGGCCCAAAGAAACATAGGTCCCATGGTTTCCCTTATTTGCAATAACTAGTATAGGTCTTAAACAAGCAGAAAAGGTCAGATAAGTTGATGTTAGGTGAAATGTACCCCAAGATAAGTATTCAAATGTTTTTTCTTTCTTGTTATTGTTTCTAACATATTTATAAGATGATTTCTTTGTTGCTTTGTTTGTCCCTCCCCCACGGTATAACCCCTGCTTTCACTGTTTTTGATGTTGTTATAATTTGTGGAAGGGAAGGGAAAAAACAAATCATTTAAATAGGGATACAGGTGGACCTATTGCAACAATGAGATGTACAAGTCATTATGTTGAAAAATGAACTATACAACTTTGGCCAGGGGTGGGGAGGTGGAGGGGGTTGGAGGAGTGTGGAGGGGAGATAGGAAGGGATGGGAAGGGGAAACAAAGGAGGAGGCAACAATGCTTGATAAGAAATGTACTCATTACCTTGTCCATGTAATTGTAACCCCTCTGTATGGTATTTTCACAATTAAAATATGTATATTATATATATATATATATATGTAAACCTGATGTCTTAAGAGCATTTTAAAATTCTAGGGACAAAGGGCAACACTCCCATAAAGTTCTAATTCCTGAGGGAAGGCATTAAATTACTAGAAAGTTAACTGCACCAAACCTCTATAAGGAGGACCCAAATTGATCTAAGAAAAAGCCAAGTACAAGAACAAGAGAAGAATCACACACCAGAGGTTAAGTGTGTCCTTTGTTTGATGTACAAACAATAAAGTACAAAAATAGGTAAATTGTATAGTTCCTAATCAGTTGTTATACTTTTATGTATTCTACTATCAAATATCTTTAGATTATGTTTGAACTGCTAAATCCATTATTTGCTTTTTGTTTTTGTTATAATTAAGTGGCACACATTTTACTTACCTAAAAGAGGAAGTAACACTGGGTAGTTGTAAGGCATCACAAAAAGGTTTACACAAGGTAAAGTTGTACTGGCTTTTAAATAACCAAATGGATATCCAAGTTCATTATATTTTCCACTACTAGCCACAAATACCTAGAAAGCCAGGAAGTAACATGTAGATACAGAAATGATTTTATGTGAAATCAGAATCACACTATCCTTCTATAGTAACGTTTTTGGCACAATTTAATTGTAATTAAAAAAATAAGAACAGTGGTAAATATAAGTATGATTTGCTTACATTTTAATTTTTCCATATTAAAAAAGAAATTGCATAAACCACAGGTAACATCAACAGTACTAAAATATGTAATTGGTTAGCACAGTGGAAAATAAGTTTATAATACCATTAAATGATACCAACCATTAAAACAAATTAGCTTCTCAAAGGAACAAGGGGTGGCTCATGCCTGTAATCGTAGCTACTCAAGAGTTTGAGATCTAAGGATCACAGTATAAAGCCAGCCTAGGCAGTAACATTTGTGAGACCCTTATCTTCAATGAACTACCAGAAAACCAGAAGTGGCAGTGTAGCTAAAAGTGGTAGAGTGCTAGCTTTGAGCCAAAGAGCTCAGGCACAATGCCCAGGCCTGAGTTCAAGCTCCACCACCCACCAAAAAAGAGGAAGAAGAAGAAGAAGAAGAAGGGCTCAGCATAAACTTAGGAAAACAGCACATAATTACAGCAGCAAAGACCATTTAACAGATTATGTCATCAGGCATCATATGTACTTATGTCTCACTAGATTTCCCCTTGTTTTCCCATTCTCCTTCCCGTTCATTAATTTTCCACTAAATAAATATTTACTGAACAATGTATATGTCAAAAACTATAGCAAATTATTTAATTTTTTTGCAGTATTAGGGTTTCAATTCAGGACTTCATGCTTGGTAGGCAGGTTCTCTACCACTTGACCCATACCTCTATGCCAACAAACTATTCATTTTTTCCAGGTGTGAGGCCTGAACTAAGGGCCTGGTCACAGTCTCTGAGCTCTTTTGCTCAAGGCTACAGATCTACCACTTTGAGCCACAGCTCTACTTCTGATTTTTGAGTGGTTAATTGAAGATAAGAGTCTCACAGGGACTTTTCTACTTCAGCTGTCTTTGAACAATGATCCTCAGATTTCAGTCTCCTATGAGTAGCTAGGATTACAGGCATAAACTACCTGTGCCCAGATTCCAACAAACTATTCTGAAGTAGCAAGTAGATGCTTTAGTTCCATTTGGAAGAGTTTTTTTTGTAGTGCATGTTGGTATAGCAAAGAGTATTTTCTTAGTCCTATTGCCATTCCTGAATTTATATATGTGAATGCATGTGTGTGAATATACATGTGTTTGAAAACATAGTATATATGTATATATGGGGGTGTACACACATAACCCTACCCCTCACACATACATATAATATACTCAGTGCTACACTGATCTACTCTGCTGGAGTTCACCAGTCACCATGTTTTCTTTGTTTTCCATATTGACACTCGTTGGTCCAAATTAGAACACCAGTATATTTTTGGAGACATAGATTTTTATTTTTTCAAAGTCCTCTGGCAGGACTACTTAAAATAAAAGTTGAACTCAGTGTTTAATGATTTTCGTTTTAATTTGCTAGTTCTTGGTCTCATCAATATCACAAAATTCTTTTTATATTTAGTTATTATTAAGAATGAAATTTTCTATGTAATATATTACTCTATAAAATATGACTCTACTAGATTTTGAGTTACCTTTTCAGTCTTCTCTAGTGGTATCTGGTTTTGAACTCAGAGCCTTGGGCTTGCTAAAGTAGGCACTCTGTTGTTTGAACTAATCCATGGGTCTTTTTCCTTTAGCATACTTGAACAATTAAGGTATATTCCAAACAGCTAATAACAATAATCTGTCAATTTTAGGATGGCTAATTATAAAAGTCTTCCTTGTATTATTAGAACCTAACAATTACTAACTGCTATTTGGTCTTGGAGATTAGAAATAGAATAAACATTTTTTCTATTGTATCCAAATAAAAAAGGCTTTGACTGCCATGTCTGGATGTTTATAAATCAAACTCCACATATGACTCTATTAGCCAATCAACAAGTCCTCTTAGCTGAATCTTATGACATCTCTGCATCTGCCTCCTCCAGGTAAAATCAAACTACATGTATCAGCATAGTTCATACTATAGAAAGAACATTTTTATTGCACTACACTAATACAGAAGTTAGTTTGAGGGCTTATAGTTCCTTGCCCAAGCTATCTTCAACTTCCAATCGGTCAAGTTTAAAGTAACTCCTGAGAACCTTCTTCATCTGCAGAAGCTGTATCTAAATAAAATTATATCCTTTGGTTAAGGATTGGTGTTTGTCTGTTTGCTTTTGTTGGTCATGAGGCTTGAACCCGGCCTGGGTGCTGTCCCTGAGTTCTTTCACTCAAGGCTAGTGCTCTACCACTCTGAGCCACAGCTCGAGTTTCGGTTTTACTGGTGGTTAATTGGAGATAAGAGTCTCACAGACTTTCAAGTCCTGTCTGGGTTTGAAACATGATCCTCAGATCTCAGCCTCCTCAGTAGCTAGAATTACAGGCATGAGCTACCAGCACCTGGCACTGGTTAAGGATTCTTAACCTGTGGTCCATGGATAAGTTTTAGGTAGTCCTTATAAATCCTCTAAGGCAATGTATAGTAAGTTAATTATTCATATAAATATAAAATTACTTATTGCTTATTTGATAGCATTTATAAGAAAAAGACATGGTCTATCTTTGTAGATTAACCTTTGAGACTTCTTAAAAACAATTCCCATATCCTAAGTAATTACAAACATTTGGTTAATAAATAGGGAAGGATAAGTACCTGCCAACAGGTATGGGGAGACTTTCTTTCCAGAATGTACTGAGTTAAGGGAGAAGGTTCAAGTTCATATTTGTCGAAGGGCAATTTGTCTATTACAAGTGGCTCACAATCCACACAGGAGAACCTCACAATTGGATGAGAGGTTCGTGGAGGCTAAGAAAAAAAAAGAAAAGAGAGGAAAAGTATGATTATCAAGCAAACTTACATTCTGACAGTTCCTTCAGTCCTTCTATACATTGCCAAATCATCACTAAGGTATAGACTAGTGCTTTGAGTTACTGCATCTCTAGAAAGCATCCATGAGATTGTTTGGGGGATGTAAGTTCAGGTTCTTTAGATCAGACACATCCATCCCAGGGGACCACACAGAGGCAGGCGCATGGCCTCCGTCACCATCCAGGTAGCAGGAGGGTCTGGGGATAGGAAGTGAGGCAGATGGGAGTTCAGGTGGGTCTGGGCGGAGAGAAGGAGGGGCCAGCTGTATGGAGGGAACTCCAGGAATGGGAAGGGGCCCAGGTGTGGGAGGAGCCAAGGACCAAATGTGAGCATAATGCTAACATTTCATCTATACCATCTACTTAGCATTGAGAAGAGGACCAGTAAATTACAACACTCGTAACTAGAATTTCAATGAAGTAAAAAAGAACTGCTCTGACTATGTTGAAGTCATAGAATGATGATCAAGTTGATGATCTACATGATGAACTCCAGATTTCAGATTGTCTTTGCAACTTCCAAGCACTGCCTGCACTTCTTTTCTATGTATCACAAAACTAGATAATCCAGGTACTGCTGGGGAAGAAGACTCTTGAAACTTTCTAATGTGGTGACAATAGAGCTTGAGTCACTAATAAGCAAGATGAAAACAAGTAAAGGTATAAAAAGGGCAAGACACAGACTGATAATAAGCCAGTCATAAGTCCAGGGCCTAGATAGAGTTTTATGACATTGCATATACCCACATGCTTGGCCTGAATAGCTGGTGGTAAGGATGCTTTGGTGGGGTGGCAAAGGTTTGTATGCCTGGGACACCATAGTTTAATGGAAAAGCCACTGTATTGCATTTTTAGCTTTGTGATTGGAAAGCAACAGAGAAAGGCAGTCAGCAAAAGATGACAGATCTAGGATATGAATAATGAATACCACAAAATATCTTTGCATCCATTTTTCCAGTGCTAGAGATGGAAATTAGGGCCTTGCAGATACTAGGCAAGCATTCTTACCACTGAGTTATATTCCATCTCTCTCTGCTTCCTTTATTAAAGGAAAAACACATCTATTTGTCTTTGTCATTTCAAAACCTACAAGACTGTTTTTAGTGATATTTAGGTTTAGAATCAGGGCTTACAGTGTGCTACATAGGAACTCTACCTCTTAAAGCACAACACCAGCAAAACTTACATGATGTCTGAGGGTTGAGAAAATCAGCTCTCAAATGAGTTGTGTGTGTGTGTGTGTGTGTGCACGCACATGCACTTGCGTGCTTCAGTTTTACTTTAATTTTATATTATTTTTACTTCATTATTATAAGCTTTTAAAGAAGGACTTGGATGAGGTATGGTGGTTTCATACCTGTATAACTACTTGAGAGACAGAGATCAAGAAAATCATGGTTCTAAGCTAGTCCAGGAAGAAAGTAACATCCTCATCTACAAACAAGCTGGATGCCCTCACCCACAACAAAGGGTTGGAAGGGCTCTTTGGTTCTTACATTCTAGATTTCTAAGGACATTCCTGAAAAAAAAATTTCAAGAAGCTAAAAACACTGGAGAAAATGGTGTTTACTGTGGAAATTTTTAGAAATTAAAATATAGATTAACAGAAAAAAGTGACACTAGAGGAACAGTGATATGTTTGTGACCCCAACCCCTGCACCAGCCCACACATAAGGGTTTAATTAGGCCTTCACCAGCTCCTGAATAAACAATTCATCTGTTACTAGGAGCAGTAACCATGAAGTGGCGCTGTGGAACAAAATGGCAGAGTGCCAGCCTTGAGCAGAAAAGTTACGCCCTGAGTTCAAGGGCCATGACTGACAAAATATGCAGTGACCAAAAAAACCCGTCTTTACTGAGAGATTATTTTTTAAATATTTCTTAGTTAACTATATTTGAAAATTGAACTGCAACAGAAAATTATTGATTAAAACAGATGAAAAATATGTCCACCAGATTCCATTGGTGTCTAAGGACTCCATAGGAGGAGAGATACTTTGAATCTGTTTCTAGAACCTATACAAGGTATTAACTAGGAGCAAATTCCCTGAGCATGAAAATCAATGCTGGTACTTTTTAAACAAACAGAACAAGTCTGAATTCTGAAATGAAAACCAAATCACAGATTATGACAGTGCTGAAAATACCTATGCATGAACATCCAAGTGGTAAAAGCAACTTAAAGAATAAAAAGTGCCCTAACATGAAGGAAGTCTTCTTCCATTACTTCAAGGCACAAGCTAGAGTTCCAGTAGCAAATGAAAGGTACAGTAGGAAAGATATGTAAACTTGCCTACGGGGCAGCATAAAAACCTAAAAAGGTTCACTATAATCAGCAAAATGAAAACAAGAACAATGCTGATTTCTGGATTTTATGACACTTACTAGTGAAGATAAATTCTGTTCTGGCCAAAAAGATTCTGGAATTGGCCAATGTCCAACAGGAACACCAGTTTTGGAGTTAGGCCGCACATAAATGAGTTTATGACAACTATGCCACAGTTGAGGGGTAAATGAATTGACTGACCTAGATGAATCCACAAATCCATCTAAAAATAAAACAAAAGACAAAGGCATCAGTTTCTTCTTACAGCTGCTAATCTTCTTAGACAAATTTTCAGCTAAATGCAAAGTGCAAAACAAAAGTGGTTCAGGCAAAAAGAAATGACAGTACTCAGATTGTTAAATGTTCCCTCTAGTGACTCTTTTACCTAATCCATCCCCTCTAATTTAACACCTCCACCATCCTTAGCCTACTAAGAGGATACAGAGTTAGGTGGGAAAATATTGTAAAACTAGTTTTCAACTTTATGAGACATATTAATTTAACATACCAAAACAGTACAGTCATCTCTCAAGAATTCAATTACCAAATTAGGCAAATGAAATCATTTTTTTGTCCTTGGTATAGTTTTTACACTTTTGGAATTTGACAAAATACATCATAAATTCCATTTGTATATACTTTCTGTGCAAATTAAATCTTAAAAATGTATTTTTTACTCAACAGTGCCAATAAGCACAAGACAAAATAAAACTATCCAAGTTAACTTGAAGGTAAAAAGCATGCTAATGATATGATGTATTTCTGTAGTCGGGGATGGGGAACATAAAACAAATGCACTAAGGTTATTATAAGCTAACTCTTTCTAGCTTCCCTATCTACCAATGAAACTACATGGAAATGGACATTGTATAATGCTCAATAATGTACTGTGAATGCATTTTAATTATTTAAATTACCTTACTTTAAAAAAAAGTAGAATGATACTGCTTTGTGCCATGATTTGTTAGTGTAAATTTTATTTGTAAGAAATAACAATTATCTGAATGTCACTTTTCTTAAATTACAGGTCATTTTCTTACTTATTTTAGCATTATTTTAAACAAGTAATTACTTTAGAACAAGAGAATTACTGAGGTTCACTGGGATCTAGGAAAAACAGAAAATAGATTTTGAAGATCACTCTGCAGTTGAGCTCACAAGGCTGGGATGTGTACTTTTCTTAGGAAAGTGTTCTTTGTTTTCATCAGAATCTGAAAGGTTAAGAACACTAGATGAGGGGGAGGGAACTGGAGCTGGATATAAAATCTGAGCTATTTACATGACACCAAGTGCCACTACAATTGTACTCAGTTCACATTAAGTAGGAAACATAAAATTATGCACTGGGCATTCACTGCCAGCAAGCCCTTCTTATAACTTTTTTTTTTGCCACTTATGAGGCCTGAACTCTGTGCCTGGGTGCTGTCCCTCAGCTCTTCAGCGCTTCAGCTCAAGGCTAGCGCTCTACCACTTGAGCCACAGTGCCACTTCCAGCTTTTTCTGCTTACATGGTGCTGAGGAATCGAACCCAGGGCCTCATGCATGCAAGGCAAGCACTCTGCCACTGAGCCACCTTCCCAACCCTCTTATAACTCTTATAACTCTTTTAAATTATGCTGTGAGGATTCAGTCTTCTATATTAAGTGTTCTTTTAGGTTAGTACTAGGATTTGAACTCAGGGTCTCAGATTTGCTAGCCTGGCATTTTACCATTGAGCTGTATCTCTAGCCCTGCTTGTTGCTGGTTTTTAGGTTAGAGTGTTGCTTTAGGCCTGGCCATGCTTTTGGACCACAGTCTGCCTACTTTAGGCTTCCTGAAGTTGCTGGGGATCACAGGTGTGCCATCTTGTCCAGCTTCCTTCCATGGAGATGAAGTCTCATAGACTTTTCTGCCAGGGATGGCCTGAAACGGTGATCCTCCCAATCTTGGCCTCCCACATAGCTTGGAATGAGGGGAGCTTACTAATGTACCCACCTATGGTTTAAGAAGGGGTTTCAGGAATTTTTCTGCCAAGGCTGGCTTTGAACTGCAATACTCCCAACCTCAATCTCCCAAGTAGTAGATAGCAGGTATTCTTAATTTTGGATTCCAAGAAACTCCTTAAATTATACATAAAATTGTATGTCTTGTCTTTATCGTTTTTCCTAGAGAAAGGAATCTTTTTTTTCCCCCCAGGAATTTGTCAAAGACCCGGGAACTAAAAAAAAGTCAGGAATCATAGGAACTGCTAGTTTAAACAGAAATGTGTACTTTCTACCCTGTGTACTTAGCTCTTTGGACATTAGCCAAAATATATAGATCATATCAGACAAAGCAACATGGTCATAATGTATTCTGTGTGTGTGTGTGTGTGTGTGTGTGTGTGTGTGTGTGTATACTAACAGAAATGAGAAGCAGCAACATAGAACTTTGTTCTAAGGAAGTCTGGCATCTTGAAATGCATTACTACAGTGCCACTTAGTTCCCTAGACTCCTGTTTAAAATTAATTTGCATTTGATTAGTTATAAACATCCACTCAAAAACACAGAAGTATGAAAATGTCATGATGAAATCCCTTACTATGGACAATTTAATATATGCTAATATATAAATATACATATATATGCCATCAGACCAAAGGGGAAAATAAAACCACAAACAAAAATCCGACCACACCTAGGCATTTACTATAGTTTAACTTCCCCTATGCAAAAATAGTTCTGTTTTTGTTTATTTTTAGATGTCAAACTTTCTGTAGAGTTCATTTGGATAGAAAAGGTTCCTCAGTTAAAAAGTAACCAGCAAAACACCAATATATTATTAAGTTCCTGAATAAGCAGTCACAATCTTTGTTGTGGGGTGGTAATTAATACAGATTTTGTAAAGATGGTTTAGCATATTTGGGCTCACAAGCCCCAAAAGAGATCAGTACTCCAATGTCTCATCACAGTAAACGTTTTGTGCACATAGAGATGAACCAATGCAGTGTAATCCCAATATTGGCACCAGGATACACAAAATGGACCAGGGAATGGAAGACTTTCCTTAAGAACATTCAACATGAAAATAAAGCTGTTAGAATTCTGACAAATATACATAGACAGTGATCAGTTGTTCGTATAGGTGTTTGCAACTATGTGTTACATGGAGGGAAAAAAGACTTTCTCTATTATTACTTGTTTAATGTCTTCCAAATTTGAGATCATCCTTCCACATGTAACATTTTAGGACTAAAATTGTTATCTACTGTACCTTCGCCAACAGGAAGTGGATCTGGTCCTGTTTTTTCAAAATTAATAACTACACCACTCTGAACTTTCTGGACTAGAGATTCTAAACATTGATTCAACATTCTTTGTGTTCTAACACAGTAGGAACGACCTATACCAAAGAGAAAAACAAAGATATGGATCAACAAACACTATTTTATAATACAAGCAGCATTGGAAATCCTAAATATAATGTGGAATTATTCTAACTACACTGACAGGGATATAGTACCATTTATGAGCTTAAAAATCAGAAGTATATTACAAGTGGCTCACACCTGTAATCCTAGCTACTCAGGAGGTTGAGATCTGAGGATCGTGGTTCAAAGCCAGCCCTGGCAGGAAAGTCTGTGAGACTCTTATCTCCAATAAACCACCAGAAAACCGGAAGTGGCTCTGTGGCTCAAGTGGTAGAGTGCTTGCCTCGAGCTAAAGAGCTGAGGGACAGCACCCAGGCCCAGATTTCAAGAGCCATGACTGACCGAAAAAACAAACAAACAAAAAAACAGAAGTAGAATACTAAGTAAAATAAAGACTAGATACAGTATCTAATCAGAACTATACTCTGCAGCCATATATTCTTCCTTCAGAAGCATAAAATATCATTATACCGCCTGTGACTTCACACATTTGTGTGATGGCTGATTCATCAGTTGGTACACTCCCTAGTTGCTCTGGTTCGGTAGAAGCCACTCCAGGCAAACGCAACACCAGGGCAAATAACCTTTGATCCCAACGAAAAGGTTCTTTGGTTAGTTCACTTCCAGGCAGAGGAGAATTCAAAGGAAGATGAAGCTGATAAGGCAAAATTTGAAAAGATTTATCATAACAACCCAATAAGAATGAAGAAAGAGTAAAGGACTAACTTTTCTTTCAGGAAACTAAAATTAAGCCATTTCTCAAAGATTACCAAGATGAGAAGTTTGTCCAACTTTATTGTTAATTGGAAATGCATGCCTCCCACAGAAATATTTTTTAAAAAAATGAAATCTCACCTCTTCTTGAATGCTAGTGGTACTTGTTAACTTGTTTCCATCTGTGATGGTTATTAAAATAGACGGTTCTAAAAAAAATGGATTTCTCCCCTAAAATATATTTGAAAAGTATTAGAGCTGTATACAGTAATACAATTATACTTAAACTTTTGCAATTGCCTTGTCAATTATCTCTTACATAAATGATAAAAGTTTCCTGGTTAAATAAAAAGATTTCAGACTGAAACGTGTAGGAATCAAAATAATCCTCAGTGATAGCATTTGTATAAAATGAGAAATTCCTCTAATTCAGGAACTCACACTAGGTCATTCAAAGTAACTTTCTCCTCTTGCTTTCCAAGTAATCACAAATGGTAATATTAAAAAATAAAAGAATGGCAATATCACCCACATCCATAAATGCATTCACATGAGTCACAATCCTGGCACAGATTGGGAACTACTAAAGATATTTCTGAGCCCTGTGGATGACTCTGGAAATTGGGAGTAGAATTTTAAAGCAGTTAAAGACAATAATATCCATAACAAAGGGATGTCTGCCTTCCTCTTTTTCTGTAGGCTTTTCATCAGATTAATGTTTCTCTCCAATTGCATTGTTTTACATTTCTTAAGAATTTAGTTATCCCATTCTTAGATATCTGGCTGATCTGATGGTAGGCAAGTTAACATTTTTTAAATCTAACCACAATACAAAGACCAAAAAGGGGGACAGGGTGTTAGAGTTTGAATTTAAAAGGTACATTAACCTTTTGGAGGAGGCTGTGAAAAGCAATTGAAATGTTGGTAACCATACCCAATTTTGAATTCTTGCCCCGTCACCAAAATAAATTATCTGTACTCACTCAAAGTTTTTTTTACCTGTCCATAATTGTCTATTCCAGATATTAATCTATTGAGATTTAATAAATCAAATGAGGATCTTAGAGCCTGACCAAGAGTAGTCAATCCAGAAGCCTGAAGATTTTTTAGTTCGCTCATGAATGTAGCGTGGTTTTCCTTCCAACCAGCCTGAAAACCAAACATTTACAAAGAAATTCCTGATTATACAATGACTGTATGTAAAGTGCAAACAAGCACTGAAAACTAAGCATCAAGCTGACAAAAATCAATCATTCTTTAACCTAATTCTATTCTGACCTTGACTGATGGAGTCAACCAAAGCAAACAGTCAGTATCAGAAAGATCTGCTGGTTTTAATGATCAGACTCAATCAACGAAGTCAAGCAACTGGCACATTTGTTCATTATAGCAAGAGGGCTTTTTCACACAAGGTCCAGTTTTTCCAGTCCACATCAACCAAAACTACAAAAATACTTCTGTTACCTTAGCTTGTCAATGACAACAAGCATAGAGAAAGGGGGAAAGTGACGACCAATTATTTGTTAAATGTACTATCATGGAGACAAATGATTGGCTATTGAGTGTCTAGTTTACATACATTACATTCTTTCTCCCTAGTAATATATTTTCACTTTAAATGAAAGTAAAGGGGGGCGGCGCTGAAGGCATGGCTCAGTTGGTAGCTTGCCAGCTACTGAGTTCTGGTTCAGGTCGTGGACCAAAAAAGAAAATGAAAAGAAAGTAAAAAGGATAAAACTACTTATATAGAAACAACCCTTCTGGTACCGTCAAGCCTCAAGAAAGCCCCAAATCTAGAAGAAAAAGAAAAAGGAAAGAATCAAAAAGCACCATCAAAGAAGCAGCACCCTTTAGGTATCCCCAGCAAAGAACCAAAAACTTGAGGTCAATAGACAACATGTTGTGACTGATTGGTTTGTAGACCAGAAAGAAGCAAAACATGGTGCTGCCTGCTAAATGATGGCTATAAAAACAAAGCTGCACAAAATCTCAAGGAGAGAAGTCAAAAGAAGGGGGCATGGGCTGGGAAGGTGGCTCAGTGGTACAGTGTATGCCTTGTATACACGAGGCCCTGGGTTTGATTCCTCAGCACCACATAAGCAGAAAAAGCTGGAAGTGGTAGAGCGCTAGCCTTGAGCTCAAGAGCTGAGGGACAGTGCCCAGGCCCAGAGTTCAGCCCCCATGACCAACCAAAAAAAAAAAAAAGAAGAAGAAGAAGAAGAAGATGGCAGCTGTCAGTAGGTCACAGAGGAGTGGACTGACAAGGGTGAAGACAGGCAACATGGCAGATGGACAACCACCTGAGCCTCAGGACTATAAGTGATATGTTGAAGGCTGAAGGTAGGGTGCCAACTAGGCCAGTACAGCTGGAAGCAGAAAGTAAGAGTAAATAATACAGAGATAAGCTAAATGATGTAAACTTCATGAAGGCGTATATTGGTTCATTACCCATACTACCATGTCATGTGCCCAAAGCATCATGAGAAATGGAGGCTGAAAAAAAAAGTAATTCAAGAGTACGGGCATTTGAAAAAGTTTGAAGATGATGCCTCCCTGATAGGAAGGATGAAGTACCATTCCAGAAAACAGAGTTCATAGAAGGATAAAACTTACTGGAGAACCTTGACTAATTGGATTATCATTGCTCTAGGTATATGGCAAGAGGCATAGCTAAATAGGTAATGGGGGTTCTGACTGGAAAGTACTTTGTACACCATGCTCAGTAATGTGGCTTGTATCTATTGGTTCTGGGAATACCTCGGTGTTTTGTTTTGTTTTGTTTTAATTAGGGGAGTGGTGTGATCCGATCCACGTTTGTGCAACATCATTCTCCTGGGAGTTGGATTGCAGCGTGGAGCGGAGGCTCTGACTTGAGGCAGGGAAACTGGTTTGGACACTGTCGCAATACCTCATGAGAAAAGTGATGAAAACCTGAGCTAGGACAGTGAGGATGGAGAGGAGGCTGCAAATTCAAGAATTATGTCATGCAATATGTCTAGGATGATCTTACCAGACAAGCAGAAAAGGTCAAAAGCTATGTACATATGACCATGTAAGATGACGCTAATAGAAATGAACCCCAAGATAGGGACACTAGAGGGTTTTTTGTCGCTGTTGATTTTTAATGTACTATGTGATTTTTTTTGTTTCTTTTGTATGTTCTTCCCCCATGGTATAACCCCTGTTATCAATGTATGTGATTCTGGTGTCTTGCATCTTCCTTATACATTTTTCTAATTTGGGGAGGGGAAGAGAAATAACAAAATGCTGAAATAAGGATACAGGTTGACCCATTGTGTGTTCAAGACACTATGTTGAAAATGAACTTTACAACTTTGGCGGGGGGGGCATAGAGGGGGAGGAATTGGGGAGGTAGGGAGGGAAGGGATAGTGGGATAGTAGGAGAAAAATAGAGGAGGTAACAACGCTCGATAGGAAATGTATTCATTACCTTACTCATATAACTGTAACTCCTCTGTACAGTCTCTTCACAATAAAAAAATGAATTATTTCAAGAGGTGGAATTTTAAGAATTTAGTAGCTAATTAGAAGGATGGGTGAAGAAAGGGTCATGCCTTTGGTTAGGGTTTGTGGCTTGGGGAAACTTGTAACTTGTGACTACAGGCCACTTTATAAAGTTGATCTTTTATTTGGTGTCACTTCATTTAGCAATCTTACTACAAAATTACAATCTTGGCTATAGCTATATTTGAAGGGCCATGAAAGAGTTCATAGTATAAAGAAAAATGAGTAGACTATTTGTTAAAAAGCTGGGATGAGATTTGGGGAATCACTTTACGATGAACACCAGTGGCTCACACCTATAATCCTAGCCATTCAAGAGGCTGAGATCTGAGAATTACAATTGAAAACCAGCCTGGGAAGGAAAGTCTGTGAAACTCTTCTCCAATTAACCACCAAAAAGTGAGAAGTGGAGCTATGTTATCCTTGAGTGAAAAAGCTGAGGGACAGTTAATAAAAGAATCTTATTAATATAAAATTTTCATCCCAAAATGCTATTATAAACAGAAAGAGCAGGAGAAAGTACCCATTAATACTCTCCATTTGTTGCTGAAGTAAATTTTTCACAAATGTATTCAGAGAGCTAATGTGCCCTTTGTTAGCACTAACGATTCAATCAAACCCACGGCCTCATACATGCCAAACTCTCTTCATATATACCCTATATTCACCTATCCCATATATTCATCTATGGACATATCCTGTTAGATTAGCTTAAAACTTTTTAAGTTTAATGGAGCTTCCAAATTTCATTTTATTTAAGGCTACTTTTCATGACAGATAAATACAGAATGGGGGAAGAAGAATAATGAAAAGAGTGACTCTGATCAAGCTCTTTTATACACAGAAATGGACATGTTACCCTGAAACATCAATGTATAACTATTTGAAGATAATAAACAATAAAATACAGAAAAATTGGGTAGGGGGAGGGCAGTGAATGCTGAATTAAAAGATTCTGATCTATTCCTAGCTATCATACTAACTTGGCAAATGGTCCAGATTGTCACTTAACCTTTCAGTATCTCTGTTTCCTCATTGAACAAATGAAAGGGCTGGAAAAAAAAAAACACTTCTAAGGTCTCTTCCATGTTTTATATCCTGTAATCCATATCTCATAACAATCTTTTATATAAATTGGATTTATGTACCCTATAATTCTTCTACACTTTGTAATAACACTTTAAATAAAACCGACTTACAGGGGTGGGGAATCCTGTTTTAGAATATGTTAATTCAGACTTGGTTTAAATTTGCATATTCACACCAAAAGAAGAACGTGAGACTTCAGGCTATCAATGACCTGGCTTCTACTCTCAGGCCCTGTATAGCAGCCTACTAGCTAGCTACTTATTCCTCAATCAGATCATCATACAATGGGAGAGAATTTTCATTCCTCTCCTCAGAAGAGTAAAGCCTAGAATATTTCCAGCTATCACCTGCACCCACATCCCTACCTTGTAACCTGTCTGGCTGGTTTGGAAACTGGAAGCTGGCATGCCCTCTCTAGTCCTGTTGCCAAAGCACTTTTTAACTGTCTGGTATGTTTCTGCCATACAATGCCTAAGATGTAGTTTCTGCCCCTACAATTGATCGACAAGGGAGGCCTGTAAGTATGTAAACTATTAGGAAGATTTTCGTGAAGACACAACTAGACTTTATTTTCAGATCTAGCTTTTATCAGAAATAAAGTTACTAAGAACTCTGGCTGGTTCTTGTGTCTTATTTCTTCATTATTCTCAAGTGGAGTAGAGAAATAAGAAGGTATTATTTAGTGGCTCTACCAAATCTCAGCATTTCAATACTTATCCTTGTGGCTTCATCCCTTGTTGGCCAGATAATTTCTCTGATTCACTGATTGTGTGTGTGTGTGTGTGTATGTGTGTGTGTGTGTGTGTGTTTGTGTGTGTGTGTGTGTGTGTGCTGGGGCTTAACCTCAGGTCCTGGGCACTGTCCCTTAGCTTTTTCACTAAAAGCTGGTGCTCTACCACCTGAGCCACAGCTCCACTTCCAGCTTTTTGCTAGCTAATTAGAGATAAGAATCTCATGGACTTTTCTGCACAGGCTGACTTCAAATCCTCACACTCAGATCTCAAGGTAGCTAGGATTACAGGTGTGAGCCACCTGCACAAGGCTGATTTACTAATCTGTATTTATCTATAGTTTTTAAAATAGAAGACCTCTGGTCTTCTATCAGTATCTTGCCAGGAAATCTAAACAAGTAAAAGAGATAAAAGCAGATCAGCTGTCCTGGAAGTGGGTGCAGGAGCAGTGTTAGACCTTTTGTTGAAAGCGCTCTCTCTCTCTCTCTCTCTCTCTCTCTCTCTCTCGGCCATTTGTAATCCTTTTGCAAAATACTAGTAACCTTGCTTGACTTAGTGTAAAATGCAAGTTTATTCAACACAGTACTAATTTCCCCATTGAAGATAAGTGATAAAGACATTTACAGCAGCTATACCTAACTTTCCACATGGAAGTGCCCCCTACATAGATTGAATATTAGTAAATAAAAAATTACTGAAATAATAGCTGGACACTGGTGGCTCATAACTGTTATCTTGGCTACTCAGGAGGCTGGGGATCTCAGTTCAAAGCCAGCCCGGGCAGTAAAGTCTGTGAGATTCCTA